GGGAGTTACTCCTTGAGTTAGCTTGCCTATATATAATGTGTTCCCCTCATTGTTTTTGGCCGAAGGCCGGGTATCCAGTCTCTGCCCTTCCATACTGAATTGTGAATAACCAAGGGTGTTGTACGACCACGTAGTATTGATATTCTAACAGCAGATGTATTTCAGTTATGGCCTGTCACCTATTCTAGACACTGGTGGGACCGAGCTTCGCTCGTATTAAAGACACAACTCCTGAGGTAACGCCTCCTCAAGTCCAATTAATGACGACAGCATCCAGAGGATCTTCACGAGCTTAATATTGGATCCTATTGGTATTGCTTCAATCCCCACTGAGATAGTTAGGGCACCTCTTCTTTTCGCTTCAGGGAAGACAAAGCCTCCATGGCTGTACCATAGGTTAAGATGGCGACAATCCATCCTGTGGCCTCTATTGGTTGGACTGCGACCAGTCATATTATAGTCGGAAGATGATATCTGTGAAGAGCTATTGATTCCCCTATGTTTCGTCTGCTTCTAAGGGGGGTTATTACTAGCTACCAATGATAATAAATAGAACACTAGGGGCAAACACGATATCAAAAAGACCGATTACAGCCGCAGTCACAGAAGGAGAGAGCTACCAGTTGGCCTAACTATTCAGTACAACAAGATATCAACAGTCGCGAACATAATCGTATGGCTCCGTTGTCCCTCGCGGTCATCGTCTCAAACCAACATGCCAAACCGCTGTTTGGAGCTAGCACAGCCATCGCTATAGTCCAGATCTTCTCGCTGCCAGTTGCCTATCGCCAATCGCCAAGCTAATGTCAGCAGTGCATAAAAGTGCCCGGAAACCTTTCCAAACACTTTTCCAGACCGCCAAATATCTTTTAGCTGTAATCTCACTGCCAGATCCAGTTATTTCTCAGAGCTAGAATTATGCAATATTCCTTTCTAAATCAGTAGCTAAGACAGACTAGATTAGGTATAAACTATGTGTATTGCCAGCCTTTTACCATACATTCTGGCATCCTAGAAACCTCGGCCAGCTGCCAGGATCTAATGCCAGAGAAGCGAATGCCATAGATTCACGACGGGTACGCTGCAGCCCACTGCGGCCGTAAATCAACGGCCAGGTTGGTGGCAGAGTCAGTGGCGAAGTACGTCTGGCGATTGGCGATAGGCGACTAGCAGCGAGAAGATCTGGGCCTATACGTCCCAACGAGGACCTGGACCCCCTCCGTATCGCTTAAGGACCTTGCCAAGCAGAATCATTGACGTCTTTCACGACTAAGCTCATCAAGCAGACGCAGTGACAGCACGCTCTGTGTCGGAGATTGTTACATGAGGGTCGTAGCGGAGCAACAAATGTGGTGGGCACATGAGTAGGTTGCTAGGATTGGTATGATGCACAAGGGTGATTAATAGACGCTACTGCAACAGGTCTATTGGCTTTGGGGACCGATAATGGTCTCGTTATTGTCATGAATAGATTGAGAATACAAGTAAAGGACCTTCGTGCAGCCTTCATTGATTGCGAGAAAATGCGTGTCCTTTCCCCCACAGGTGACCGTGTGCCCAAGAGTAGAGATACAATATTCCGCGCTATGATCAGGCTCATATTAAACTGAACCTTTGTTTGGTGCTTCAAGCTATTGAATTGGAGACACAGGAAACATATTTGCGAATACGCTATGGGATCCGGATGACTGGAAAGACAGCCAATTGCGGGAAACAGGGTTATGAACGCCCAACCATTGAGACCATCGGAATGCAAAGATGCGCTACTATTAGTATTTATTTTGCCCAACGCCCGATAATGCAACTATCTACAATTATGTGATATATATATATCGTAGCTACAGCCAGGAGTGCCACTTTCACCCATTAATATGGTCCTCGTACAAATACATATTCTTTTCGTAATCATTCGATACGCCAACAAGGCCAAGATGTCCGAGTTCGAGACATTTTCAGTGCCACGATTGCACGCAAACCCCCTCGGACGCATAGGTTTGGTTTTCGTAGTTGTAGGCATTGAGCAATGATCAACGTTGACTCTGGATTGGACAGACCGTGCATGGGCTGCGACCAAGCGGTCCAACCTGTGGGCACTATCATCCCCACGCTCCGTATGCGTTAGACGTCGAAAATCAGGCCATGGCTTTATTACTCCGCACGCACCGTCGTCTGGTGTATCCCACAACTCGGTGAAAGGGTTGGCAAAGCATGAAACGAACCGCAGGCTGCTTTGTACGGATGAATGGTAACTGTTTGCTTGGACGACGTGACGACCACGTTCTCAGACCGCTTTGTTCTTCGATTCCTCCTCTTGGGCGGCGTTTTCTGCTTCGTCTATCAATCCCGGCAGCTCGGTCATAGGCTCGGACCCTCCTGGCGTCTCCTTGCATTTGCGCCGTTCTGACTGCGACATCGCAAACAGCCTCGAAGCGCCGTACAGCTGTGTCGTGATCCATAGGGTGAAGATGAAGGGCGTGATGAACTTCCATGCATGACCCCACCTGTCCCAGGACTTGTGAAGAAGGTAGATTGTGACAGAGACCTCGGTCGTGGCACCGACAAGAACCCAGATGCAAAGTCCACAAGAGAGATATGATAGCAGTTTATGGTCATTGCGTCTGATGCGCCAGATGATCATTGTGATGTAGACAGGTAGTTCGACGACGACATCGAAAGCACCTGGGTCACTGTCAGTTGGTGTGCGATCTCGGGGTTGAGCATTGAGAATTGAAAACATACCCCAGACCATACACATGTAGAATTCTATCGTGGCTTCTGGGTGCTTTTTGTAACTTCCGAAAAGAGAAAGCGCCGTCTGCGTTATGGCCAAGAGCCCGATATGGTGGGCAATGCTGAGGGGGCTCGCGAACTGGGTGCGATAGCATAGTTCAAACGCATAGTACGCGCTGTAGGTCTGAGACACCGCGAAGAGAAGGTCTCCGACGCGAATCCGACTTCCTGGGCCCGGCACCAGATCCGTAGACAGAGTCGCAGAACCGATGAGGAAGCGCATGACGGGGTAGACTCCAATGCAGAGGATGGTGAACATGGTGATGGCGCCGACATGGTAGTACACGAAAGAACGGCGGCGCTTTTCGCTCTCGGGGCGCTGCAGATCCGTGTAAATTTCGCCGTAGACGACTTGGAGCAGCCTGCGCTCGAGGATGTTGGCGAGGAGCACGACAATGATGATACTAGTGACGAAGAGCAGCGACCCGAACGGCTGGAGACTCGAAATCGGTCCATTGGATACCGTGTCGATCTTTGGGGACGACCTCGAGGCCAGGGCGCTGAAGAGCGTCGCCATCGTGAAAGAATTCGTCGCGATCGTCGACCACTTGCTAGGGGAAAATGAAGCGGCAGAGGACAGTTGGAACTGGTGACAGTCGGACGCGGCCGTCAGGGTGGTATATAATAGAACGCACTGAAACAGACAGCATGAGGAACGACACTAGTGCCTGAATCATACGTCGTATGCAGAAATAAGAGAAAACGAAATAAGCCCGTCTTTTGCTTGGTGGGGACGACTCAGCTCATCGTTTTGACGGCTCCGAGCTAAGGCAGGGGAGCCCAAGCCGCCCGGCCCTCAAGAGTAACATGAGTGCTAGCCACGGGACCCGTGCTTTGGAAAAGGGGGTTGGACTTGGTATGGGTGCAGACGCAGGATGTCCATTGTTTTGGACATTTTAGTTGAACTCAAGAGGCCACCCACCGCCAGGTGTGTAGCGTATACCCCTGCACCAACGAGTCGAGTATTCAAAACTTGGCTTAGTACACGATGTCGGGCCGTGAATCCCTGGACGGCGGTGTCAGTCTAATAAAAGTCGCTTACAACGATGCCGTTTGACCCGATCTGGGGTTGAGTTCAGCCCGCGTTACAAATATGGAACAGAGAACAAAGAGTCGAAAGCATGCGAGTTGTTTCTTTCAGATGGAACACGGGTCTTCGCTGCACCTAGGACGGTGGTAAAAAACCCAAAAACAAAAACCCCTCCAACCACCAAAGGCGTTTGTCTACGGCACTCGGCACCGAGGCAAAGCATCTCTGCATTTAGGGCCATGAAGCGCCGCTATTGAACGCAAAGCCACGCATGAGTGGAGATTTCGATCTGTCAGATCGTCAGGGGGCGCGACAAATATAACCTCGACAAAGGAGGCCGCCCGATTCTTTGCGAGGAGTCGTTCGCCCACCATACTCTTTCGATGCCAAGACATCAAGGCAGCCATGTGCGGGTGGTCCCGTTCTGCGCTGCGATAGACGCGATGCCAAGCTTTCTGGGGCTTCGGCAGGCTGCTGTCAGCGGGCGATCAACAGTGGGGAAGACGAAGCACACAGCCTGAGAGTTGAGCTGTTTCTGGTTCTGCGCGAGGTTTGCACACCAGGCCTGCCCTGACTAGGCAGCCGTACCAGGGAGGGGTGCTTGCATGTGAGGGGCCGGAAAACCGGCTCATAGTCATCATGTCAGTGTCGGGGGCCGAGGGATCGCAGAATGTGAAGGGAACATGAGGAGTTGGATGTAACAGGAAAAAGTAAGTGGATTGGGTCTTGCGTAATCTCGGAAAATCAACCGTATAATATATCTACCTACCTGTCACAAGGAGTTAACCCAAAAAGAATGCCCACATAAGAGAAAACTATGAGGGCTGACTAAAGAGAACCGGCTGTACGGCTAAATTAATACGACTAGGTATTATGACTGACTAAGAAATACGGATGATGCATTGATGAATACAAACAGTAGGTAGGTACCTACGGATAGGCGCACATGCTCATTCCATTTGCATCGTATCCGCCCCACTTTATGATTACCCGAGGAACATCCGCTGATTTGGTAGCCGTGCACGATCAGCTGGGCTCTCTTCCCCTTCCTTTTTGGCAGGTCTCAGTCGCCGCTCAGAACCGACATCCATTCATCCATCATCCCAAACTGCCATTGGATCATGTCAGCAATTTAACCTCGGTCGACACCCCATTCCAGTCAGAATTACGGCGTCAGACTATGGCGGCGACTCAATTGGGCCTAGAGGTCGCATTCTACCTCTACCCCTGCGGCCTCTTTGTTACCCTGTTGTCGTCACAGTCCTATCAGTTCTACCGTGACCGCCATGGCGTCACGCGTCAGAACGCGACTGACGATGAGCAGAAGAGAACCTCGCGGTTTTACGCGTTGATAATCCGGTGCTTTCAGCTGCTTCTTTCCCTGTTGCTAGTAAGTCGACACTCGCCCGACTAGAGCCGTAATATCCGCTCACACTCATTGCTAGCTCGCCACTATCATTCTTGCCGTCCATGATGCGGTTGCTAGCCAATATGATGGGCCTGGAAAGGTTGCCTTTCCCTTTAGCGCCTTCCTGGTAAGTGATGGCATCATTCCGGTTCCTTGCCCAAACCTGTACTTGTCATTGCTGACGGCTATCTAGGCGTCCTACGTTGCGGTCCTCCTGTATTACCTGGCTGGTCTGCTGCCCGATCCGGAGGGCCCATGGACCCCGACGTCGGCTCACTTCTATGCATGGATCGTTGGTGCACTATTCGAAGCCTTTATTGCCGCCATCTTCTCTTCAGAGAAGAACTCGTTCCGCGTGGCCAACGACCTGCTCGATGTGCTTGACATCTTGGGTGCTGCCAGGATCGTCGTCTTGGTGGCTATGATGAGTTGCCTTGTTCTTAGGGACCACAAGATCAAGCCATCGCAACCCAAGTCGGACCCCGAGGAGCGACAGTCTCTTCTCGGCAACGGGAACGGTGCATCTCAAAACTATGGCGGCGCTCATCCTCATGGAGCAGCTGCATACAAGCCCCCTGCGAGGACTCAGGTCCAGGGCACGGGATGGCTGGACTACTTTGCGGGATTCCGAGTCCTGTTCCCGTATCTTTGGTATAGAACTACCTTTTCCATGCGTGCTTAGCTCCTTTCGTCTACTAACCTCGTCCCAGGCCCAAGGACTCTCCCGCCTACCAGTGCATTGTCGTCATTTGCCTGTTGCTCCTGGTCTGCCAACGAACTGTGAACGTTTTGGCCCCAGTCCAGCTCGGGGCACTTGTCGACGCTCTCGGTTATGGCCGCATCCCTTACAAAGAGATTATTCTTTACGTTGTATACCGCGCCCTTCAGGGTAACCAAGGAGCTCTTGGTGCTGCAAGGTCGGTTCTCTGGATTCCAGTCTCACAGTCGCTGTTTCGCCGACTGTCATGCGCTGCATTTGAGCACGTCTTGGGGCTTTCCCTAGAGTTCCACCTCAACAAGAAGATCGGCGAGGTCACCAGTGCGCTGAGTAGAGGAGCCGCCATGAACACCTTCTTGGAGAACTTCTGCTTCCAGGTTTTCCCCATGGTGTTTGATATCTTCGTTGCTGGCGTATTCTTCTTCGTCAAGTACGACGCCTTCTACACCATCATCATCTTCTTCATCATGTGGTCCTACATCTTCTTGACCATCTATGTCGCCAAGTACCGCGGCAAGCAAAGACGAGATATGGCAACTAAGAACCGTGAGATGGAGGCCATCAAAACAGACGCCATTATGGCATATGAGACTGTGCAGCACAACTGTGCCGTCGCACCCGAGACTGAAAGGTTCAAGGAGCATGTCGTAGTGTACCAGAGGGCCGAGCGCCTGGTGCAGTGGTCTCTCAACTTTCTGAACCTCACACAAAGCTCCATCTTCTCCCTCGGCACTGCATTGCTTGTCGCCGTTTCCGCATACAAGATTTCCCGGGGCGAGCAGACGGTTGGCGAGTTTGTCAGCTTGATCAACTACTTTGTGCAGCTGCAGGGCCCCTTGAACTTTTTTGGAACCTATTACACCATGCTCCAGAACAACTTAATCGAGGCGGAAAGGATGTTAGATCTGTTCAAGGAAACGTCTGGAGTCATCGAGAAGCCTGACGCTATCCAATTGCCGGCGGTTAAGGGAGAGGTAGCGTTCAACAATGTCAAATTCTCTTATCAAAGCAAGAAGGGCGAGCCCGCGATTGACGGCGTCAGCTTCACCGTCGCGCCCGGCACCAAGACAGCTATTGTGGGAGAATCCGGCAGTGGCAAGTCCACCTGCCTGAAGCTTCTTTTTCGCTTCTACGATGTCAACGAAGGCTCGGTCTCTGTCGACGGTCACGACATTAAGGATCTGAAACTCGACAGCCTTAGGAGGAACATTGGGGTTGTACCACAGGACACAGTTCTCTTTAATGCGACTATCATGTACAACTTGCTTTACGCCAATCCCAAGGCCACCCAAGAGGATGTGTACGAGGCCTGCAAGGCGGCCAACATCCACGAACGCATCATTACATTCCCTGATGGCTACGAAACCAAGGTTGGAGAGCGAGGTTTAAAGCTTTCTGGAGGTGAACGTCAACGGGTAGGTCCAGTCGCCCAGATTCGTCATGACACTCGCTAACACGAACAGATTGCCATCGCGAGAGCAATCCTCAAGGACGCCCCCATTTTGCTTCTGGATGAGGCCACCGCCTCCTTAGACTCTCACACTGAGAGGCTAATTCAGGATGCCCTCGAACGTGTGACCCAGGGACGCACCACAATCACCATCGCGTAAGTAGATGTTGGCTCTGCTGCATCTCGCTTGCCCCTTTACTAACATACCTTGTCTGCAGACATCGCCTTTCGACCATCACCACATCTGACCAGATCGTGGTGCTCCATAAGGGCAAGGTGGTTGAGTGTGGCACGCACGCCGAGCTGCTGTCACTCGGCGGGCGTTACCACGGTATGTGGGAGAAGCAGACCACGGCCGAGAAGAAAATCAAGGAAAAGTTTGAGAAGGAGGGCGAATCTTCAGAGACAGGATCTCAGCAGTAAAGGAGGAGGAGCTAAGATATTACCTTCGGGTTGTCACGCCGCACCAAGTTAGGAAACAACAGTATTGTTCATGACTGGATATATTAGTCGCATAGACTCTGTTTTGAACATTGCATTTCAGCCAAGGTAGAAAATTTGACATCGACATGCAACTCTATGGGGATAAATTTTCCAACAGTTGCCAGTTACAATGTCTCTCCTAAAGATATGTTGCCGCTTGTGACGCGGTGCGCCATGGCGATTTCCAATGTGCACTTCAGGCAAGAATATAGGTCATTATTTGACCTTGGGTACATTTCTGGTAGAATAGATAAGAAGGCAATAACTGTGTATGTATCTTGTGCACTTTTACTTTTCCAGTTCGTTTTGAAAAAGGAATGTTTTATGTGTCACAGACTCAGGGGACCCCGAATTGCGCTTGCTGGTGGAGGGTGCTAGCTTAGCTCAAGCAATGTTTTAGACAATCTGTTCATGGCGAAGCTTTTGCTAAGGATTGACAAAGGTACATGGAGGTCTGGTAACATTACGAGAGGGCTGACAGCCACAATGTCCGCAGAGGCGGTTGGCAACGTGTGCATCATCAGGAGTCAAATGAACTAATGGCTTGCACCTGGCATATCCAGTGGCATGTCCTCGGGTATGAATCACGTATTCACCCATGTCAAGTTGATGTGAGTCTGCCTTGCGGTTGGCTGCCTTGGTGGCTTGCTCAAGCCCCTTACCCTTTTCGCTGCGGCTGAGATGCGACTTTGGCTACATTTGTGAAAAGCTGAGCCAATTTTGCAACATGGGTTGATGCGAATGGGGACTAGTCTGCAGCGAGGCAAGGCATGCTGTTTCAGTAAGCCCGACAGAACGCCACTGTTTCCTTGGGTTTCGTGAATTTCAGACAGCGTTATTATCTGCTTTCAATACAAGTAGGCTACCGCCCGATGACTCGATTTGTTATTCATCATTCTCCCTTTCTATTATTCACTCCACTAATACCCACCCCAAGTCCAGGATCAACTCAGACGTGAAGATGCCCTTCGATTTCAAAGCCTATGACGCAAAATGCAATGGCCTTACACCCGAGGAGCTCCAAAGGGAGTGGGAGCATTACACACGCCTCATCTCCGGTGCTGCTACCTCGACAGCCGTCTCGGGCATCACCATCCCGTTTACCATGGGGGTTTCTACCATAGGCGTCGCCATGGCTGCGCCTGCCATACACAACGCACGCAAGAAGAGGGAAATCATTGAGAGCCACCTTCAGAAATATGGGTTGACGCATCTTACTCGAAAGCGTGACGTGCTAGGCAGCATGGCCGTTAGCGGAACCATCGGCGTTGTGACCCTAGGTGTTGGAAGTATGGGTGCCGATGCCGTAGCCACTACTGGAGCAGAGCACGGGATATCTGCCCTCGTCGAGAACGAAACAGCCATCAAGGTGGTCACTCATGCCGCCCTTGATGGGGCGGGATTAGGGATTGAGCACGCCCACACAAACCATCTGAAGAAGGAGGATGCCTTGAAGGCCTTCAAGGCTGCCGGCGTCTTTCAAGCTATACGGGACGCAAAGGCAGCACCACAGGACAACCAATACCAGTCACAACTACAGCAACCATATCTGCCCGTTTACCGGAACCCACCACAGTATCATCAGGTTGCTTCAGGCCAGTCAGCTGTTCATGCTCTTAGATCACCCCTACCCACGCCGAGTCACTTGGCAACGTATAATTCGCCATATCACTTGGAGAAGCAGAGTTATCAGCCGATGATAACGAACCATCAGGTCCCCCAACATCCAACCCCTCAACAGCCAGCCCAGAAAGCCCCACAGGAAGCCCAGGATTACAGTACTTATTCACCAGTTACCTCGCCTCTTCCCAAATAACAAATACAAACCCGCAATATCCGGGCCAGGTCCTAGCACCTTCTTCAGCACAGCCAACTTGGACCTCTGTCCACCAAACGCCCTTACGGCCCACTCCCCCTTACGCTTACAGACAGAGAAATACTACCCCTGCTCCTGAATCTAAATACCTCCCTCCGCCGCCTCCGCAGTCTGCTCAAAGCTACCAGCCAATGACCCTTGCCCCTCCTCCGCCGTACCCTCCACCAACCTCAAACTCGGTCCATATCCACCCATTGCAGCAACAGAGCATACCCGAGCCTCAATATGCACCAGTTCCTATCCCTGCGGCATATAACCAAGCACCAAACCATACAGGAAGCCAGCAACATCCGCCTACGCCAGTCCAACAAGGGTACCCGCCCACTCCACAGCTATACCAACCTCAACCATATCAGCCACGGCCGCTGGCACAACAGCAGACACAACAACAACAACAACAACAGCCCAATCTATTGCCGACCCCCATATCTCCGCCATGCTCTGTTAATGTAGTGGAACAGGCTTGCTCAAGCTACTTTCCAGCAACAATGGCTCCGCAAAAACATGCTGTCTACAACCCACAAGATTGGGCCGGCCGGCCATACGGCCAGGAGCCGTACACGCCAGCTGCAACTCCGAGTGCCTCATACAGCCCACAAACTGCACAGGCGTATTCTTCTCATCCACAATGGCGTTTCCATGACCATGATACAGTCGTAACCCCTATGATCCTCTCAAGACAGGTTATAGAGCAAGCTAGGAACGGTGGTCGTGATGATATTTGGTAAAGGAGGTGGGTTACAGGATTGACGATAATCTGGATCAAAACCTCTGCGCAAAAGCTTTTCATCTCCTTGCTCAGATATATTAAGCTTGAAGAACTACTTGAATAGCTCGCTCTTTACTTGGACCGCGCCGATTACCCACCGCTAAGCGTCTTTTTAGCAACATGCGAAGGTTGATTATGCGCAGTTAGGCGGCATCTTCTAGCTAATTCGGGACGAACTGCGGCTGATTGTGATGTACCCTATCATTTATACTCTCCAGAGCTATCAAAACATGCTGTATGAGTTCTTCGCAATGGGTAGGGCACACAGTTATATTCACAGTGGTGGAGGGAATTTTGTTAAGACTTCAAACCTCATACAAATGAGAGTCGGTGCCTTCAAAACGCCGCTCATCAACTTCACTACCGTGAGTTCAGGTCAATGCCGCATAATTATCAGGAGTAACATGATATCCGTTACCGGCATAACCCTTAGATGAGTCATTATTGCTTGCGTGAAGCATGACTGCATGTACACACGGAGGTCCATGTTGTTACGAGAGGTATATTTAAATAGTTTACATAGTGGTGTAGAGGGGGAAACATATAAGAGCTCTATTGCTGAACGACTAAGAATACCTGAAGTAACTACGTTAACATGGAATTGGCCAGCGAGGACGATTCGGATAATATAAGAATCTTAAGAAAGATGCCATAGAGGTCGCCCTAGCCCTGTGGAAAGCCTCAAAGACCTATACGTCTTTTCCAAGGTTAAGCCCTCATTGTGAGGAATCATTTTGTATATCACCATTACATAGAATGGTTAGCATGACCAGGACGCTCATATGACTTAATTGATGTAAAAAAGATTAATGAGATTCGCTCATAACATTATAAACAACTACGTTTAGGAATACACTAAGATGGCCAAGGCAAACTTGTATAAGACTACCATTTGAACACCAATATTACAACAGAAATACTTCACTTTTCAATGATGATTTTTCCCCCTCAAGTATCCACGCATTGCAGTTGTGACATTGTCATTCGTATGATCCGCGCTGTCATATACTACGCCTGCAAACGAATGTCACGATGAACAAAGCATTTGAACCTCCTAGTACTGCTAGACCATAATAATCCCAAGACTAAATGACCAGGGCCTGCAGATCTTGAACGTACTTTACCTGTCTTGAACCAACGCAACGTTTAATATCTTGACGGTCCTTGAAGGCATCAAATCACTGGTAGTGAGGTACCTCCTAGCAGCACCTGACTCGGATCAATCTCTGTTCTGTGGTTGTTTTCCAAGGCTTATCGCCGCAGAACTAGTGGGACAACTTTGCTTGGTCTCCTGGTTTGCAGTAATGGTTAAGCAGTTGGTGAGTACGTATGAAGTGGTTCATGAATGGCATTGGATGTCGTGCTCTGCACCCCGATTAGAACTATTCGGTTGTCTACTGGCAAACTACATTAACGAATGATCAAGTGCTAGAGGTGGGAGCAAAGTCAAAGTCGACGAACTTTGGCAACCCTACAAATCCCTGCAATGAGGGGAACCCGCGCCCTACCGAACAACGCCACGCTTCGATCATCGAATCAACTTAGTTACAAGTAGCAGTCCAGGCATCTGAAAATAGCGGTGTCATCGTTCAGTTGCCTAACCAAAAACAAGCATATCCTTCCTTAACAGCCCCGTTTCAGGTATTCAGCCGCGACTTGGCATAAGGCTCACATATAGTCTGCTCGGAATATATGATGTGGATTTTACCCCCACTTAGAGCGGACACGTCTACTCGTCTCCTTTGTTACCCATATGAATATTTCGACGGTTTATGTTCAATGCCCACAAGTCGCCCAAAGCGAATCCAAAATTGGTCCCCGCTCAAAAATGAGGCGGACTCGCCCTTTTTGTCGAGGTTATAAGTAGCACGGACCGGGATACAGCTAGCTCGTCGGATTACGTGTACGGCAATGATTAGACCGTTTCGATGGCACTTGTGTGGACTAAAAGGGGGCCACAACCATATGTTCTTCGTGCTGCAACGTGTATCCCTCGACGCGACCTCCGCACTTGGTTTTCTTTTGGGGATGGCTATGCCGAGTCGCTTGAGACGGAGAAGGATACGTGAGACTGACCAGCCTGGTTGGCCAGTTGTCTCCACGAGGTGCATGTCAGTAGGAAAACCTGCATTGTTCTGGAATTCAGATGAACCGAAGTGTGTTTGGGCTCACTGTGCCGGCCTTCTGAATGCCATCCTTTTGATCATTGTTCATTGCCTTGATATTGTCTTCTGCTCTTGACTGTCCCAACAAGGTACATGTGCGCATGGTAAGATTCCTTTCCGCTAGTCAAAGGCTCTACCTACATCCAGTTGCACCGGACGAAGCCCGTTTAAGCGTTGTGGTTGGGAAGAACGTGGATTGGGTCCACCATCACACCACACGGACAGTGCTTAGATGTCTTGATCAATGCCATACAGGCCGAGATGTGCATAAACGTTCAGCAACTTCCCTGCACGAGTGAACTCAACCATACCAGCTACGTCATTCCTGAAACCAACGCACATGCGGAGCTTGTGGTATCTTGTGGGTGAACATCAAGGCGAAGACCACGCGTTTACAGATGGCCATGGGGTTTAAAGGAGTAGCTTTAAAACCAGGATGCGCGTTCGGTCCGCTTCATGAACACAGGCTCTCGCTCAACGCTTCCTCCTAAGTCAAACCACAATCGTCGCCGTCATCATTTCTGGAGTCGATATGTTGTACAAAAGCATTTCACATGCCATTGAGCTGTACCGGCTAGAGCAGTCCGCTAAACAATGCAAAGAAATATACAGCGGAAAGCCCAAGCCCGAGAAGGTCACTCTTCTCTGGCATTTGGTGACCCTCTCCCGATTCAATAAATACAACCCTCTCTTCACCACATTTGCAGGAGGTAAGTCATGAAATCGTACGGACAGACTTGACATTGCTGAGCATGCGATAGTCTGGTCTGTCCTGCTTGCTGGAGCGTCCGAGCTTGTCGACCCGAACACAACCATACAGCCCGCCTTCATCTTTCGACAAGCTGCGCTATGTTTCCTCGCCGCCTATCTTTTTTGCGGTGCGGGCATGGTGTGGAATGACTGGGTTGATCGGGACATAGACGCGAAGGTTACGCGAACAAAGGATCGACCACTGGCGTCTGGTACCGTTACCACGGTGGATGCCATGCTATGGATGGCCCTCCAACTGCTCATGTCTCTGGCTGTTGTGCACAACATGCTTGACGGAAAAGATGTGTACGTCGCCGATACTTCTCCCTCTCATTCCCCTAATCAAGGGTTAGTACCGTAGCTGACAGACAAGGACAGGTTCCGACACATGTTCCCAGTAGTCATCGCATCAATCATCTACCCGTACGGCAAGCGACCTATGGCACTGAAGCTTCGAATCTATCCCCAGTACATTCTGGGCTTCACCATCGCGTGGCCCGCGGTTCTTGGACGATCGGCGATTCACGGGCGGTACGAATCGATTGGCGACAGCATCGGTTACTGTCTCCCTCTTTGTTGCATGGTATTCTTTTGGATCATCTACCTGAACACAGCCTACAGCTACCAAGACGTCATCGATGACCAGAAAATCAACGTCAATTCTTTCTACACGGTCGCGGGACGGCACTTTCACAGGTTTCTCTTGGTGCTCATCAGCCCTATACTGATGTGTATGCCTCTGTACCTCCTCAGGTTCGGCTCATTGTGGCTCTGGTTCAGCTGGATGGGAGTGTGGACAGCATCTTTTGCCGCCCAACTGGTACACTTCGACCCTGATCGGCCGGCAAGCGGAGGAGGCGTGCATAGGAGTAATTTTGTGCTGGGGGTATGGACAATTGCTGCTTGTGGTGTTCAGGTGCTTCTTAGTGAGAAGAAAGCTCTGGGGATTCACGCATAGCGTTATCGGCGAAAATGGAGAATGAATACCGGTGGATTGCTAGCCCATTAGGCAATTGAATAGTTGCAGATCAGCATCATACCACAGTAGATCAGCGAATTCAACATTACAATTGCGATGCCTCTATACTTGAAAATGCGTAGATCGCATGGCAAAGATGGTCATCAATCCACCATGTGTAACCTATCAATTCTTTAGTACAAAAGCAACAGAGCGAACCGGTCTTGCGACTGTCTCCGAGTTTCAGTACACAGCTTTCGTACGATGTTGTAGCACCCTACATAGAGAATCCAATAGACATTAGAAGATATCGAACAATGACAAGCATGACTTTGATATTGTGCGGCAGTACCACACGGTCTTATTATATTTGGAAATTCAAAACTCGAACCCGTATCCTCCTCCAATCCAACCAGTCACACCGAGCAAATCCGTAAGCCAACCGAGGAACCCTATTACCCAGCCAAACAATCCCAATGTGAGAAGGTCTGGCATTCCAAACATTCGCTCTTTGAATTTCAGCCCTGGAACATTTTTCTCCAGGGTTCTGGGATCGTTCAAGTAGTAGGTCAATTTCGTTCCCATAAGTTTAAGGGTTGCGTTGAACCAGATGTTGACGGCATAATATGAGAGCGCCCCAACGGCATCGAAGCGAATCTCGCCGTGAGCTCCGCGCTGCTGGAAATAGCTCACGATCCGTCGAAACAGGCCGTATATTTCGTATTCGGTAAGATAAGGCGTGAGGCCTTCGCAAACGACCAGTACCGGCCGGTCCGCGGGAATTTTGTAGTCGCTGAGCCACGCATCATCATGAATGTTGGGTTGAATCAGTCGGTATTCGCCCTTGCTCGGCTCGGGTTCCTTCATGAGCTTCCGTCGGAGGTCGACCGCTTCCTTCTGGTCCGCGTCAATCCACATGCGGCCTTCGCCTTGCCACCGGACACGAAGGCTTCGCGAGTCCAAGCCGCAGGCCAGGTGAATCACAGTAGCAGGACCCGGGTGTTTCCTAAGGAACTTTTCGGTACATATGTCCAGCATGCGAGCGCGCATACACACTGAAGTTGCAAGAATCGACTTGCTCAGAGTGTTTGCCGCAGTTCGCTTGAAGTCGTATCCCAGGCCCTGAATCTGTGAGGCGAGCTCGACGGCATACTGGTCGCTCAGAATCGGGCGGGAGGACTCGGCGTCTACTGCGCGTGCATAAAGTGTAAGAAGTAGCGTCTCCTCGGCACCACTCAACGTTATGTTTCCCTTGCCAAGGGCGGAAGACGAATCTGACGAAGGCATCGCAATGGTAATGTCTTGCTGCTAGTGGCAAAGGGGGAGTAGAAGGTAAACGGCACATAGAAATCTGTCAAGAAGAATCATACCTTATTTTATGACAATGATGTACCTCGGCAAAGAGTTCAGGAGCGGCAAGGTTTCTAGAGTCACTGGGTCACACATGACGCACTGAGGGCATCGATAGTCTTTGCTTGTGTGTTGAAACGTCATCTGCACGGCTCGCTTCATCTGATGTTCTCGAACTTCCCACGTGAAAGTTACAAATCGGGCACTGATATCCCTTCAATGGGACGTTTGATCTAATGAGATCTCACAAAATACGAATAAAGTGAGAAGTTTCGTCGTCATGATCGTAATGGATTGTTCGCTCTCGCTATCTCGTTGATTGTGAGATCCCTGATATGTAGTTCCTACCTCATGATAACTCAGCTTATGGTGCTAGTCCGATAATGTAGCGTCTGGTCACCAGTTTTGGGAAAGAGACGACATATTGTCCTGTTTTGGCCCATGCTTTATGCCTATCAACGCTTGTACATCTCATCTTGCAGTCAACCCAAGTGCAAAATGTGCCCTTGTTTGCAATAGGTAGTGAGTAACGGCACTAGACTCGACCTCTTATGGGGACTTAGAACGACTATACTTATTTGTAACAGTGACTTTGCTAATAGCGATGCATGATCTCGGCACCTCGGGTATAATATCAACCTCCCCCTAGTGACGACATATCGTTAACGATGTTACTGTGACAAAAACATCTTATTCAAGCAATGTATGACTTCTATACCCTAGCTAGCAAAGAGGGCCCCAACAACACACCTACATCAGGGCTGAAAATGTTCCAAAGACGAGATGTCGGTACTCGTGGTTCTGTTGGTGTCGATTTAGAAAACACTTTTTGAGAAGCATTTCTTTTCGGTCTGCTATCATCATCCTCTCGTCGCGGACAAAGTAGCTCACTTGAGGCAGTAGGTTGAAGGACTTGGGAATTAAGAGTGGTCACAAACGCAACGATAATGGGCCGACAAGCAACGAAGGAATTACGGCTGCTGAGAAGGCTCAATATCATTCCACGCTGCTATTTCCTTGAAGACAACTCGATTGCCGCATCGACGGAACCCCCCACGATAATACCTGCTAAGCCACGCGCACCCCCTCCCCTAGCGTCAACTTTATGCTACAAGTGCGGGCGTGCAATAACCAACCGCAAACCCGCATGGCTTCCGCAGTATGGGCAAGGTTTACATGAATTCTCCCCCGAGGGACTGGTGACCTGAGTCGCCTGTTTCGCAGATTGGGCGAAAACCGTGTAAATAGACTCTTAGCAGTTCCGGGATAGTTCACAGCGCGGTATCAGCATCTTGAGCGATGAAATGGATAGTGATTCTGCGACTGTTGGTTCTTACCACCGGCTGATTCCCCTCCCAAAAACCAACTATAATCAAAGTCACAGAAACCCATTGCCATCCGCTGCAAGCTCCCCACCCCAACGTTAGCTGGCTAGCGTTATCAAATGGCGAGGTACACCGCGGCCCATCGGAATCCTTAAGGTGCGGGCGATGGCCGTCCCACGGCGCTCCAAGTGGTCCAGGATGAAGGGCTGGCGGGCAGGCTCGTTGGCAAGACCATCCTTGTCACCGGCGCGAATCGGGGTATCGGCCTGGAGACGACTCGAGCCCTCTACGCAACCGTCGCAACCGTATACTTGGGAATCAGGAGCATGGAAAAGGGGAAACGGGCCGTCCAAGATATCACCGATCCTGGGGGCTAGGGCTGCGAGGGCGCGCTGCACCTGGTCGAAATATCGCTCGACAGCCTGGATTCGGTACGCATGGGGGCTCGGGAGTTCCTCGCCGAGAGCGGAGCTCGCCTCAACGTCCTCATCCTCAACGCGGGCGTCATAGCCGGCGCCAAGGCCGCGACCGCAAACGGCTTCGAGATGGACTTTGGGACCACATCGGCCACTTCCTCCTCTTCCACCTGACCAGGACGCCTTCTTGGCCTCCGCGACGCCGCACTTCCATTCCCGGGTGGTGGTCGTCTCCACGGCGATGCACCATGCCAGCGATACCCGGTAGGAAGCGTTCGATATCGACACAATCCGGGCCCGGCCGGGAGAGGAGGCCTTCCAAGAAATCGTGCGCGGGCTGAAGAGCCCGCCGCAGGGCGCGACCACCAAGGTCTACGCGGCGCTGAGCAAGGACTGGGAGGGGAAGGGAGGCAGGTATCTGGTCGATTGCGCCGAGGCAGGCCCGACGCCTGCGGTGTCCGTCACGTGTTTGATAGGCCCGGGGTACGCTCCGTGGGCTTACGATGAAAGGAAGGCGGCCCGGCTGTGGCGGGAGTCGTGCAAGATGGTTGGGGCTGAGGATGATGCTTAAGAACGTTTGCTTGCAGCGAGGTCCAAGTGCGATGCTTCGAACGGGCCCGAGTCCGAGCCAACATGCACTTTGCGAATAGGAGATAGTCATCCGAGTTTCAACGTTTATTAGACACAGAGTCTTAGACATAAAGGTAATCAGAAACGCCTAGCTCTGACACGCCGACCCCGACTACCGCCAAGTGTTTGAGTAGTGTTGGCAAACGTGCCTTGTTACGCAGGAGCTTGATAGGCTTTTTATTTCTATTTTATTTTTCATAGGTGATACTTGACATATCTGACTCTACCTCCCACAAAGCCGAGGTCAAGCCCCTGGTGTTAGTAGCCCGAGAAAAGACGAAGCTGCAGGGCGTAACGGCCGCCACGTTGCGCACAGAACTGACCCACGCAGTTGCGAGCGACCACCTGTGGCCCTCCGCATGGAGCCCGTCCCTCATGCCGGAGCTGGTGGGCGAGACGCTGGTGTGGCAGCTGCAGCTAGAAAAGGGCAAGGCTCTAGGAGGGGATGTTCGTGGTCGCGAGCCGGGATGTGGGATTCATACAGGCGAGAAGGGGGGTCGATTCAGCATTGGGGCTCAAGTTGGAATCTGAACTGGCGAATAAGCTATGACGGGGGACGTCCGACACTGAGCAGTTCGACAAAGAAGATCACGCATGCCCAATGTTCCTGCTGAAAAGGATTTGGTGCGCCACGTCGGGGGCATGCAGTGGTACGAAAAAGAACACGCAATCAGTTTTTGGACCTGTTTCCAGCGATCTATGGCTCTATCACGAGATCTAAACCCAAAGCAAATCCTCCCACATCTGCGCCAAGCAATGCTCCAGGGTATAACACCGACAATGATGGTACAAACAAACATATTCAACCCACGAAACCATCCTCCCCTTTTCTCCAAGTTTTGATTCTGGTTCCTGTCAACTCCGAGTGGCAACCTAGGCGTCGGACCTGGGAGGCCACTTGACTCTCTTCTCGGCGCGCACGTAGAGGTTATTCGGCCGGATGAGCTGGAACATGGGGTCGTATTCGATGGGGCCGTCCTGGGCCATGGTGAAGTTGTAGCGGTAGATGAGCTTGGGCAGGAAGATCTTAACCTCCTGGAGAGCAAAGTTGAAGCCGATGCACATGCGGGGGCCGGTTGCGAAGGGGACGTAGGCGGCGGCGGGGCGGTTCTTGACCTTGTCAGTGTCCCAGCGGTCGGGGTCGAAGCGGGCGGGGTTGTCCCAGACGAGATTGTTGTTGTGGATGTGGTGGAGAGCGGGGATACAGACAGAGTCCTTGGGCAGCTTGTAGCCGCCGGGGAGGATCATGTCGACCTTTGAGGTGCGAGCGGGCTGGTACGAGGGGTTGTGGCGGCGCTGGGTCTCCTTGATGTACTTGTCAAGGAAGGTGAGCTTCTGGGTGAGCTCGGCGTCGATCTTAGTATTTTCTTCGAAGCCATTGTCGACGAGTTCCTGGAGCAGGCGCTCCTGCATGCCGGGGTAAGCGACAAGGCCGTAGAGGAGCCAGGAAAGGAGGGAGGAGGTGGTGGTGAAGCCGGCGCCGGTGGCGACGACGAGAGGCTCCATGATGCGCTCGCGGGGCAGCTTGTTGCCGCGGTTGTCGCTGGCGCGGAGGACATAGTCGACCATGTTGTCAGCGCGGACGGCGGCCTCCTGCAGTTCGAGGTCCTCGATGCCCTTGGAGGCGTTCTCTATGGATTCGGCCATCATCTGCTCAATGCGGCCGCGGGCATCGCGCAGGCGCTTGGGGTCGCCGAAGGGCAGGGCGGCGTACCAGCTGCCCATAGACGTGATCTTCTTGTTGAGCTCGAGGGACTGGGCCATGACCAGGACCATCTCGTGGGGGGGGGCGTCGACGGCGGTGAAGTGCTTGAAGTCAATGCCGAGGACGAGCTTGCCGACAGCCTGGGAGCCAAGCTTGAGCATGTAGGGGTAGACGTTCCAGGCCTCGTCCCTCTCATCGAGCTCGTCAAAGACTTTGAAGGCATCTTCGATGGTAGCCTGCATGGTCGGGGCGTAGTGGCGGACGGCCTTGGGGCCGAGGGCAGGCGGGAGGAACTTGTGGACCTCCTTCCACTCCGGGGTGTCTGTGTCGCCGAGGAAGACGCCGGCCTCCTTGTTCTTGATGGGGTAAAGGGGGTGGCCGGGAATCATTTTCTTGGTGAAGAAGTCGCTCTCGGAGAAGATTATGTTGGCGAGGGCGGGGTCGTTGGTGTGGTAGATGACGGAGCCCATGTTGTTGGTCTTGAAGAGGGGGCCGTACTTTTCAAAGAGGCGCTGGTGGTTGCCCAGGTGGTCGGGGTAGACCTCGAAGTAGTTGCCGATAATGGGTAGGCCCTTGGGACCGGGCACCTCGCGGACGGCGTGGCCATCGATGGTGATGGCGACGGGACCCTCGGCGGCAAGGACATCGGCAACTGTTGTCAGAGCCTCCTCTCCGGAGACGAAACCGACGCCTGGGATATTTGTTAGCTACCACCGGGGCATAGCAGTGAGGCGCCAAGGGGCTTACCCTTGTGGTCGACGACGGCGAAATGGGAGGCGGCGAGATGCTGGAGGCCCTCCTCGTCCGTCGAGGCGGGGATCTCGAACTCTGTTGTGACTGAAGGGTCTTCGCCCAAAAGGTAGAAGCGTTGTGATGACATGGCGTACTGTATGCTATGGTATGTGTATTTTTGAACAAGGGGAGAAACGCAGATTTTGACGCGAGTATGTATTAAAGATGTACGGAAGTAATAGGTAGTAATACAAATCTTCCAAGCGAAGTAGCTGTGGCCGATGGGGGGATGCACCCAGTTCACGATATATAAGTAGGTGGGTAGGGGGGAACAAACGGATGGTAATCTAAACAGTACGTACCCTCACGGGAGATGGCGATAGGAACAGGCAAGCTTATCCAATGCGGAGCTGGTGTAGATGATGGCGAGTGTCAATTCTTTGGGTGGGAACAGAGGGAAGGAGCTGACGTTTAGCGAAAAAGTGGCCTGCCGAGGCTCATCTCAAGGGCCGCCGGTTGACTGGGGGGCACTATGCCTTCATGGGTGTTCAAGTCGGAAAAGAAGCGGGACTGGATGAGAGTGCATGTGTGAAGCATTGATGGCGAGACGGGCTGCGTTGAGGGAGAGAGCGGAGGATAACCGCGGTCCTGTTAGGTACTGATGGATCTTGATCTTAGGAGCAGGATTGGGCCGGTGCATGGCATGGCATGAAAAAAAATGAAAAATTGGAGATAGGGCTCGACATGGGAGATCTGCAATGTTCAGCAAAGTGACTCTAGGTGCCGAGGCGAGGGCAGGGGGAGGTAATCATTATTCGGGATCAACGAAGGCCCCCCCTTTTTTTTTTCTCTCTCTTTTCGGTAGCGGTTACCAGACAGACACGCTAAGGCTCAAAACTGGGGCAGCACTTGAGTCATCAAAGTACCTCTTGAAGTCTCTCGCTTAGCGTGTACAGACCTCAGCACAGACTAACTTACCCTTTTACTAAAGAAAAAAAAAAAACAGAGATATCTCTATTAGCTTAGGGTGTATCCAGAAAATAGTAGTATAAATTCACTTTTTAAAGAAATCTACTCTTATAAGCCTTACTTAAGATAATAGTAGCCTTAAGTATCTATATATATTATTAGAAAAGCTTTTAGTTTTTTTTCTACTTAGAGTTAAGGATTTAAAGTTAGTAGTGTAGAGATAGATAGGAGGTAGGTTAGTTACTTAAGAGGAGGTGGGTTAGTACTTGGAGACACCTGGTCTGAGATGCTAAATTTGATCCACAGTATCTGCCTGTTAACCGCTGCCCTCTTTTCTTCTTCTTCTTTTTTTTCTCTTCTTTTTCTGATCGGGATTGGGGACCGATGGGGTTGTCGTTTGGTCGTCTTCTTCGAACCATGTACGCAGTATTACTAAAGACGAAAGGGGACCGGCACGACGATGGACGAGGTTCAGAAAATTTCGAGGGAAGGAGGGGCGGAGTGGGTCATCGTGAAAGGTACGTACTCAGGTGCCGAGGCTATCCTGACTAGAATCGTCCCGAAACCCGTCGCCTCGGTTCACTCACTGGTAGAAGGAAGGAACATTAGGAACCATTCCTTGGTACCTGTATCCGTATCTTCCACGCAGTAAGCAGTGGATATGAACCCACATATCTCTCTACCGCCTCTCATCGGTCGTGTCACCCTTACTGATAACATACTACTAACGCATACATAGTGTAGTACTCCTGACGCCAACTTATCCCACGCAAATCTAAACCAAATCCTAGCCACTGACTCTCCAGATATGGTGGCATTTGTAACGGGTACGGTACCTCCGGTATCAATACCATCCTCATTGTCAGCTTCCCCTTGGTCTCCGTCAATGCGGATTGCCACGTCCATCTGCCCTTGCACACTGTCATAAGTAAAAAGAAGAAGAATGAGCAGAATGGAATATGCCATTGAGTGCCGAGTGACCTCACATAACCTCAGACCAATAAGACTACAGCAATCCAGGCTGACTGTCCAGTAGCTGTAAGTAATTATTTACAGAGACCCACTTTTGGGTTATGTGAGGTCACTTGGCACTCAATGGGATACACACGTCGTTTGGATAGTGTATTTGGGGTGTGAGGATAACAACTCGCTCGTGCCGAGACAAAAACAAGGCATTGAGGCTGACCTGCTGTCAATCGTTAGTTCATCAAGTCGGGGCCGCCGGCGCACACCACCCCAGCACCCAATCCCGTCGCCGAGTCGCCCCCCCCCCCTAGGAGCCTTTTTTTTCCCATATCACATCTCCATTCCAAGCATCCCTAGGCCCCACCCTTCAACCAGCTCTAATGCATCGCGTCTTTGACTTACGATATACTCGCTACGTAAACAGGGTTCGCGCGATGATGCCCACACTTACTTATCTCGAGCCTCGGCATCTTTTCTTCGGACATTGCCCATCCTCTCACATCAATGGCTCGCCGGTCTAGGCCGGCTTCTATTCGCTTCTATTCGTGCTGGGTTTTCACTAATTGTGGATATACATCAGTTCATCTGCCGTCAATTCCTGCATGTCGATAAATATTAATCCTGAAACCCGTCCCTCCGGAGATGTGAAAAAGAGAGAGAGAGAGAGAGAGACAGAGAACAGAAAAAAAGGGGGTCGCATGCTACTAGTGTAAAACCTTGTCTACATCACGATCGACACGATTTTCCCGTTTTCTTTACACTACTTTAGATAAAAATAACCTCCCCTATTATATTAACACGGGCACACTTGAACAGTGTTACAGCAGACCCTTATTCCTCCGTCGCCTTCTTAGATTTTTTTTTTGAGTTTTTTTGCAGAGATACCCCTTTCCAGCGCATCGCAACACAACATACTAGCCAGACAGACATAATGGCAACAACAGAAGGCCCCGAGTTCACGGCCAAGGAGGTTGCCGCTCATAGGGAAGCCAACGACTGCTGGATGGTCATCCACGGTGAAGGTATGCCACCTCCCTCCCCTTTGCATCGTAGAAAACCAGCGTCCCACTAACCCCCCCCTAGTCTACGATGTCACAAAGTACATCCATGACCATCCCGGTGGCGCTGACGTCCTCATCGAGGCTGCCGGCGTCGACGCCACGGAAGCCTTTGACAACGCGGGCCACTCCGAAGACGCCTACGAGATCATGGCCGAATTCCGCGTCGGCAAGCTCAAAGGTGTGAACAAGCGCTCCGCGCCCAAGGCCGTCCGCCTGGCTCCCAAGTCCGCCCCCGCAGCCGCCCCGGCCTCCTCCGCCGCTCGCGCCGCATCCCAAGCCGCCGCCGCCGTTCTTTTCATCGGCCTCGGCGCCGTTGCCGCTCGCCATGCCGTCTCCACACCGGCTGGCCGGGACGCGCTCGTCGCCATCCAGAGACTCAACCTCCAGCTCCCCTCGTGGCTGTCTCTCGGCGGTAGCGGCGTCCCCGGCGCCAAGCGCTCCGGCTTCGGCTTCCTCGAAGGCTTCGCCGTCGCCTCAGCCTTCTTCGCTGTCGCCGGCTCCCTAGCTGCAAAGGAGGCCTCTAAGCTGCTCCACTACGAGATCACGCCCATGCACTACCGCCCGCACATGAAGCTGCCCAAGGTCGCCAAGCCCAATCCCCTCAACCAGCGCGGCTGGCTCGACCCGGTCTCCTACCACCCGCTCCCGCTCGTCGAAAAGACCCTCCTCGCCCCCAACGTCTACCGCTTCGTCTTCGAGCTGCCCACGCCCACCACCGTCCTCGGGCTGCCCATCGGCCAGCACGTCTCCATCAAGGCCGAGATCGACGGTAAGTCCGTCAACCGGTCCTACACACCCACCTCCAACAACTCGGACCTCGGCCGCCTCGAGCTCGTCATCCGCTGCTACCCTGACGGCCTTCTGACGGGCAAGTACCTCGCCAACCTCGAGCCCGGCGCCGAGGTGCTCTTCCGCGGCCCCAAGGGCGCCATGCGCTACAGCCCCAACATGGCCCGCAAGATCGGCATGCTCGCCGGCGGTACCGGCATCACCCCCATGTACCAGCTCATCCGCGCCATCTGCGAGGACGACCGCGACACCACCGAGGTCAGCCTCATCTACGCCAACCGCTCCGAGGCCGACATCCTGCTTCGGGACGAGCTCGAGGCCTTTGCGCGCCGCTACCCCGCGAACCTCAAGCTGCACTACCTCCTCGACACGCCCCCCGAGAACTGGGCCCACGGCGTCGGCTACGTCACCAAGGAGATGATGGCCGAGCGCTTCCCCGCCCCCGGCGACGGCGCGCGCGTCATGCTCTGCGGCCCGCCGGGTATGGTCGCGGCGGCCAAGAAGTCGCTGGCGGAACTGGGCTTCGAGAAGCCAGGTGCCATCGCCAAGACGACTGACGCCGTCTTCTGCTTCTGAGGAGGTTACAGTCGGACACTAAACAGATATACCGATACTAAAAAGGGTTTCCTTTCTTGTCTTTTCTTCTTTTATCTTCTGATGTTATATATGCGTGCGAGGAATGACTTTGCATTGTAACGGAGTCGCGGGGTGGTGCATGAGGGTCGGTGTCTGGGTTGACGGCATCCATCTATACATCTGTACATCTGTACCAATGTTGATACCTACCTGTAATACATTACATATTTTCTTTGTCATTCGTAGAGTTACAATTCAACAGCCGCTCGAATAAAGAGAATTATACGTCTTACTCGTATAATAGCGCTGTGGTTCGAACACCATTCATCAATATTACATCAGGCAATATAGTCCGACAGGCAATTGAACAAGCGTGGTTTCTTGGGGTCTGTCTTGGCACAAAGTTTGCGGCCGCTTCAAACCCTTACCCGATGCTTGTTTGTTTTGTCAATGTTATTGGCTGTTAGCTCCTTGTTGTGTAGGTTATGCATAGAGACAGCGTGTTGTCTATATTACGACGCAGAGTATCTCTCTTGTACGCCCCGTAGTCTAAATTACACAACTGAACTAGCCCCCGTATAGCCTTTGCTACAACGTAACGCTGTGAGGCTTCGCGCCTTTAATTTACATTGACCAGCGTCTCGCGAAGCTACACGGTTTGTAGGCTTCGCGCAAGGTAGCCGTCAGTCTCAAGTGAGAGCCTCCTAGTCCGCCTTTCGAAATAGGGAGGCATGAACTTCAACGTGGGACGCGTGTAGGTGAATACAGCACAGTCAACATACATGGTAGATGAAAGCAGAGAACAGAGTCCAATATGTCGGGATCATGGATGAGGATCAGTTCCTGCATACTTTGCTCAAGACAGCCAAGTGGAAACCAAACTTCAAATAGAAAATAACACCCATGGACCCCGGATCTCCTAGAAGTGTCGGTTCTTGGCATTGGCGATTGAATAATCACCACCGTCTTACTATTTGGTCACTTTTCATGTGTTAGCAAGTTGCTTCGTTGACTTTTGTTAGTTCACCTGTCTCTTTTTGCACTGCTGGACAGCGGGGTTGAGCCACGCGGGCTATCAAATTTGGTATGGTTAAGCACAGAGCGACATATTTCCACAAACATGGGTCCTAATGCTTCCCGAAGCCTGTTACATCTCGGCTCTTAACTGGGTGGCTAACATCTGTAATGCTTTGATAGGCGGCCCAGCAGCTCTACCCTCTTGTATACTCCGGCCTTGTGTATCAATAAAACCTCACCATCAACTTCATCGTTTAGAAAGGGACCCTCTAAATGGCGTTAACATGTTTGAGCACACCGTAGAATTCTTCTCGGCCGCACAACAGGCTATAGATTGTATGTTGGCATTTCGATCTTGTGTTGTATTACTCCTCCACTAAGGATCCAAGAAACAGCAATTTTCTCACCTCCTTTGAGGACGCAGTCGGGGCCTCCAACTTTTCGGTGCTGTAAAGCGCCTTTGCTGTTCTGTCTCCAAAGTCAGCTCGGTAGCTCGGCCTTATTCTGGTGGGGATGTGTGCCAATGAATTGAGATAGATACAAGGGGTATTAAACATACAGGCTTGGATATGACGGCCCAGCAGACTGCGATTTGCGCGAGAACGACACACAAGATGCGGAGATTCATATCGAGCAAGAGTTTGGGGTCAGGTTCGTGCTTTCGAGTGTAACTAAATAGACTCGAGATGGCGAATGCTGACAGGATCACCAATTATTTCAAAACTTCCGTGTTGACGTTCACCTGGAGGCTCGAAGGACCGACATATTACCCGTGATGGAGACGATACAACCCTTATATGTGCCCATTAACTGTAATTTACGCAGGACTGTTTAGCCCCTCGATATACTTTTCCTTGGGCAGTTGGGCAACCCCAACTAAAAGCTTGTATCTAGCCAGGATCCTATCTTGTTGCAGTCTAAGACGTTCTGTGACTAGTTATCGCGGGTTGGGCTCGTTATCACCCGGGGCAGTGTCACGATCGACCACTCTATCGGGTCGGCAAGTGAAACATGCTGTCTAGACCATTCTCAGCGACGTGGCGATGCCGTTTGATTCTTGTATAGTTATGAGATGAAACTGTACAATCATATGTTAAAATCAAGGGGCGAAGGTTTGATCGTCCAAACAAAAGCGCGGGATCCCACTGTCATTATGAAGAACAGTCATCGCTGCGGGGTGGGCTTTAGACTAAAGGAATAAGGTTTACTGTGCTTCCGCCTTTCATTTCTGTGAACGATATCCTCCAATTGAACGAAATTCAGGGGGTAAAATCTAACTTCCTGATTCAAAGTATACGGGCGTTGAGGCTTTCATTCAAGTTAGGTATACTAGTCAGGAGACTGTGTCACGTCACGGCTCAAGGTAGCACGTACCGAGTATATCCGAAACCTAGCAACGCAGTGATAATTTCTAAAAATAAAACCCTTTGGGAATACTCTGACAGCCCGGATCATGGTCGGAGGTGGTTTAAAAGACGAGAACAGAGGTTGTACGCACCTCGCTTTGGAACCATTGTTTGCCCTTTTCACCCGTTTCGTCTAAAGCCTTTCTGCAAATTGCACATCTCCATGGCTAATCATGATGCCGAGAACTGTTCGTGGGCGAGGGCTTTCAGCATGTATACGTTTCATCACTCGAGCCTACAGCAAAGCATAATTACTTGTCAGTCCAAAGGTCATGTCAGAAACTCGTAGGTAAACTTGAAAACCATTCGCGATTGATAATGATACGTCTTTAAATTCTTCAGGAAACACTGACGCAAAAGTTAGCAAACATGATGAATTCCACTCTATGCCCCATTCGTTTATTATGAGACTAGACGAAAGGCTTCCATTGCTCTTCACACCAATCCCAGAATTTGGCAGCGTATCCCGTTCCACCCTCCGAGTCCAGCTTCATGGCATCCAGAAGATCTTTCCTCGGACAGCCTCTGTCAGGGCGAATGCGCCCCCAGGGAATGACATAAGCGCCGTTGTTTTCAAGCGATATCTCGGGCGAGAGCCCGGCGAATAATTCGGTGTAACCACCGTACTTTGTCTCGTACAGGAAGAGAAACCTGATGATTGGCATGGCGAGAGCCGAGACCCCGGCATACGAGCCCGCTCTCACGTTGCCAGGGTTCAGGGTGACGCTGACGATGCCTTCGGCGCCATGGCGAGCTGCCATCTCCCGACCAAGCAACCAATTTCCGGCCTTGGACTGGGCATAGTTGCGTATACGATCCATCGTGCCCTCGCCGAGTAGACCGAAGTCGACGCCGTGGGTGGGGGAACGCGAGTCGGCAAGGAAGCTCGAGGTCCACACGACGCGGACCGAGCCCTTAGGGCCCTCCGCGACGGCGGCACGAAGCTGTGGAAGCAGGAGATGAGTGAAGAGCTGGGCGGCGATGCAGTGCATGCCAATCATGGACTCGAAGCCTTGTTCTGTTATTGAACCCGCCGGCAGGGTCAAGGCGCCCATGCCAGCATTGTTCCAGAGCACATCAACCTTGGACTCTTGTTGCGCAAAGGATGCGGCAGCCGACTTGACGACAGCAAGATCGTTGAGGTCTAGATGGAGGAACTTGACAACTCCTGGGTTCTTGAGGGACGAGGTAGCGTTGATGATCGCTTCGATTGCCTTCTCGGCTCGTTCCTAGCAGGGGGGGCGCGAATCGTCAGTCTCCGGGAATGAACGGAGAAGTGGGGGCCATGCCGCCGACGGTACGACGACAGCAAGTTTCCGGCGGGAGTGGGGTATATCTTGGTATCGCCAAGATCCAGCAGCGCTTGGATTGGCCATGTAAATTGTGGCACCTGTGGTGTAGAGGAGCTTGACTAGCTCGAAGCCAACGCCGGCGTTGCCACCCGTAACGATAAAGACACGGCCATTCTGTGGCTTGACGTGTTCCTCCGTGAAAGACGGCTTGGGGGGATAGTGCTGCGTGCGCCAGTTGTGAAACGCGACGAGTGACATGGTTTCGGTGGCTTGATTCAAGGTATTTTGTACGTAATTGTGACAACAGGTATCCAGGCGAAAAGCGCAAGAGATCGAAGAGGAGAAAGTGCTAGATAGTGTCATGGCATTGTCGGGGAGGAGAATGGCGGCTATATATTTGCAGACATCTACATGGCGTCCGACCTTCCCAGCCAGCAGACACATGGTTGATTACATTCCTTGACGTATGAAGCTATTATATCCTGCTTGTTAAACCCGATTCGAATGCTCCAGGACTGGGCTAAAAGCGAGGAACAGTTGGTGGCGCCGATTCAATATCCACAGCAATCTGATGTCAGACGGGGTGCACCTGCTGTTGTGCATTCACCTGCAGCTGGCCCTCTTCTCTCATTGGAGCTAAGAACGAGTCCGTAGTTTTGAGACTAGGAGGTAGGGGTGTTCGCATGCAACTCCGCTCGTAGTTGAGTGGACATGCAGTTCGAGTTATCGCGCAATGTTCGTGGTCAGCTTTATTAGCTTCAATGCGCCACCCAACCGCATCCCATATTAATTTGGGCGAAAAACAAGCGCTGTAAGCCTATGGGAATTACAAATACATCAAGTTGAATGTGCTTGCTTATCGAGTGGGTGTGGGTAATGGTGCAACGGGCGACTAGAGTGTGATTGGAAGTTGATAGAATATTTATGTAGAGGAATTACTAGAGCATATGGATAGCTAGGCTTAAAGGCTCTCAGCGTGACTCAAGTTGTCCCTCAACCTGGAAGGGTTTTCTTCCAGCGTTGCAAAATGAGGAACTGAGCGCTTCGGAATCAATGTAATAATACTCTAATTATTATTTTATTCGTCGGTAGTTAGCAAAATAGCACCCGCACTTTGAAAGGGCAGGCTCAACCAACAATATTATGCACTATCATTGTCCAGTCTTATCAAGATCATCAAAGCAGTACCTCCGGGTCAGGAATGACTTAAAGATAGTTCTTCAGTGAATCACTAGTTTGTAACAGCAGCCTATAATAGAATTCTGTGTTCGGGGATCGAGTGTCAGCTTTCAGTTCGGGTACGAGTCACGTTTGGATTGCACATAATAACTTATTTATAGGATTACCCACAGGCCATAGTTCATACACGCACTATGGCGATTGTACAAGAAAAGAAGAATATCTACAAGTAAACCAGCTGGATTCTGAAGTAATATCTTACTCCGAGCATAGCGCCAGAGCGGATTTTCGGTTGTGGTATCATCCTTAAGAGCTAATGACATCGGAGGTGGAGTATTTGCAGGCCGTCGAGGGACCGGAACCAACCTCGGTGGGCTCGTCGCCGCTGTCGTTGCCCTTGAATTCTGTGCAGATATCGCTGACGCTCTTAGCTGTAATGCTCTTGATGGTAGCGGTGTCACCGTAGTTGGAGTTGATGCCTGTGAGGACAACTGCGTTAGTACATGATGAAGCGTGCAAGGATTCAATCTCATGTTGACTTACCTGCAAGGAGCTTTCCAGAGGAGGCGTTGATGTTTTCTAAGATGACGTGACGCTCGAACATCGTCTTGCAGTTGCCGCAGCTGCGGTACAGCTTTCCAAAGGTCTTGACGGAGAAGCCGCTGACAGAGAGGGTGCCGGCGCCGTTGTGCTGGAGAACCTTGTCCTCGGCTCCAAAGGCACCGCCAGAGGTGATGGTGGTGGTCTCGCCGGCCTCCTGTTTCTTGATGGTGAAAGCGTCTTCGCAGACCGCAGACCACCAGACGTTATCGAGGGTGCAGCCACCGTTGCAGTGGACGCCCTCGATCTGGTTGGGGCCGATAATGACGTTGGAGAGCTTGGCGCCCTTCTCGAGGATGAAGACGGCATCGGAGTCGCCGCCTTCGGCCTGGCCGGTGCAGGAAACACCACGATCGAAAGTGACCATCCCACCGTCAAAGGATTTACCGGCGGCAATGGTCTGAGCGGCCTTCAGGACGGAGGTGCCAGAGGAGACGGGAAGGCCACCGCCGGCAGCAGGGACCTGGAAACCGCGGGTACCGTTGCCAGGAAGGCCGGGGGCTGATGTGATGATGGGACCAGGCCTACGCGTCTTGCTGGGCTTTGTCCTCTTAGGGTCCTTGGCAGATTTAGTCTTGCTAGGCTCCTCTGCGCGGGCCACGTGGTGGAGGAAGTCGAAGTAGCCGCGCTCGGCATGCGCAACGGCGTGGCCTTGAACGGCGCCGTTGGCGGCGGGGACGGCAGCGGTGCCGAGCACAAGCGTGCCAAGAGCGATGGCAAATGAGTACTTCATTGTGATTGTATGGTGCGGATGGTTGAGAAGGAAAACGGCGAAATGGGAGAAGAAAAGGCTTATCTACCCGAGAGAATGATGAAATAGTTCAAGCCTGCTTGAAAGAGTGTGGTGAACAGCGAAGGCTGGTAAGGTGATGGAATAAAGGTGATGAAATCAGACCAGAGGCTCATAGCAGGTGTCTCTAAGTTAATAACTTATATCAAGAGATCTCTCAGAGATGAAGAACGAACGCTCTAGGGGATTTGGGGGCTGGTCAAGACCAGGAAACGAGATGTATATGTTCCAATGTATCCGTACATGCTCCAGCTCTTCCTCCGCAACGGCTACATGATTAATTAAGAGGCGACGCGGAGGAAATGAAAGCGTCGATGCAGGCTTTGAAGATCGCACTACAGGCCCCAGCCCATCCTGGCTCCATGAAGGTCGTTACCAAACAGAGGCAAAGAGAGGGGCTCCGATGGTATCGGGCAGCTCGACTGGGAATCCCAGAAACTAGCTGGCCAGGCCCGCCAACAATTCGGTATTTCTGGCTATGGAGCTTGAACACAGACAAACCCAGGTCTGGAATAGAGTGATCGACCACGTGGTGGATTCAAGGCGGCCTGGCAGTCCTCGCTGGGCCGATTGCCTATGAGCCAGTCGACAAGTTGGCAAACAATATCATCCGCCCTCATTTGTCATTGTTCACTTTTTACACCTGCGCACGCCATTAAACTTATCCCTCATACCGAGGTCCTGATGTCCGGTTCACCCCCTGCGGGGATACACCTGGAGGGCACATCTTTATGTCGAACCAACGCCTTGTAGGACGTTTCGAAACAGCCATGCCCAGTGCCAGGGGGGCCTCCGGCAAGTTGATCAAGCCAACCATGGTGGACTCAGTCATCTGTGATTCTCCACATACTCCAGTTTTCCAAAGCAGCGCCAAGACCTTCTCAGACGGAAAAGAATGTGATGCCTATGTTCCTATATTGCTTTTGCCGCGTCGACTGGCGCGGTCGCGAGGGAAGCTCGAAAAAGGACTGGACCAAGCCTTGGCGGAATGGACGTGTCAGTCAATTCACGGGGGTAAATCATATGGACGGAACAGTGATATGGGCCCCTCACTGTTTGCCGCTCGTTTCCTGGTGGTCGTAAGTCAGCGAATCGCTGGCTTTCATAGCCCAGTCGCCTCCAAGTCGCTTCAATTGAGTGTTCTCCTTCTGATGTCTCGCTCTACTCTGGATCGTCCTTATGAACGCACCCTAAGTTTCTCCGGGGCGAGCCCCGTTATGAACCGAAGATTCGGTAAATCATAACAAAGGTTCGTGTATCTCATTGCGTTGGGGAACTATACATGAACACATATGCAACAGGGAATGTGCATCTCCGTTCCATACAAACGCAGCCGCATACAAGGGTGGTGGCAGTAGTTTTCAATATCGCGGAGCCGGGTTGGGATGGGTTCGAGTTATAAGATCCTAGGGAAGATGGAGGGGAATTGGGTTTTTTCCTTTACGTGAGTGTTCAACCATCTATCAGTGCTTCTTTCATTTATCTGTCGGAGCCTAGGCGAGCATTGCGTCCACCGGACCAGCACTAGTCCCATTTATTTTCCCCTTTGCCCATAGTTATGTCATGTTTCCCAGAAGGCTTGCATCTAGAATATTACAGCCTCAATCTATATCTTCAGCGTATCTGGGGTTTCCATCTTCCTGAGAAATGTCTCCAGATCCTGTAGCTTAATGCCCCGCTCACTATTCAAGGTCGCCTCCTTTGGCCATGAGACGCCCTTCCCTGCGCCAAAGATGGCGCGGTACTTGTTCCAAGTGTCGGTCGGGTCCTTCTGTAGATTTTCCTTCAGCCAATCCATGTCCCAGTTTTCCCTGACAAACTTGATTTCCGGAAACCTCTGTTCGACCAAGTCCGCGGCGCGTTTGTACGAGACTGTGTCTCCCGAAATATACACCACATTCCGGCCATTTTCAGGGATACCGCGTGGGTCGTAGATAACTTCTGCCGTCATCTTGCCAATATCATCGGGGTTCGTCAGCGTAACCTCAATGTCCCATCCGCCCAGGGCCCGCAACTTCTTCTCTTCAAAGTCCACCACGCCAAAGTCCTTGACGAACAGAAAAGTCATGAAAAGGCCCGTGCTGATGATTACCCATGCCACCTCTCTCTGCGCCCTCAGCGCGTCTCTGACATCAATATTCTCGTCGAAGAGCACTTGCGGGCTCCCTCGCCCAATGGCATCGTGGTCGACACCGAATTGCCAGGGAATAAAGCGCCGCACCTTTCCGAGCAGAACGGCTTCGCAGATACGTCGTTGTGTGCCTGTTGGCCCCACAAAGCCTGTACAGCTGACAACTGTGTCGTACTTTGCAAATATGGCCGCGAGATCCTGAATAGAGTCGTTCACAAGATCGCCTGCTTCGATGGATATGCATTGGGTCTTGAATTTGGCGATTAGTTCGACCTTTTCTGCGTCTGGCGAGTTGATGGTGGAAGGTCGGAGGAGAACAGAGACGGAGGAGTCTATTGGTCGTGAGGGGTGTGCCATGAGAGATCTGAGCATGGCCATGCCCAGCTCACCAGCTCCAAGAACAAGAACTGCCATTTCGGTACGTTTGGTGGATGGTGTTGGTTACAGTAGTGGTTGTTAGATGACGAAACTTTACAGTCAATGCTACTTGTGGTCGCACACCGTTGTTATGTGGTAGGACGAGTACGGTAGATAAGCAGTATCGCGTCAGGGTAAAATCGAATTAATAAGCAGAGACCTCCACGGAGCGCGCCGCAAATCAGTCAGCGCCGGCGATACAGCGGTGTTAAATCCGAGAATGGGACACGGGGGACGAGGTGTCAAAGTGGGCAAATTGGCCGCGCGCAATCGGAGCACAAGTGGAGAATTGGCCGTAAATGCGCTAGTTATTTCTAGGATGGTTTTGTCAAATGTGGCTGTCGGGATATTCAACTGTTCAATAGTGGAGCCAATCCATGGTCACGTGATTTACCATCACATGACTCACCCCGGCGGCTCACTTACACCACTACAAATACCCACAGCAGTAACCTCTTCTTTTTTCCTTTCTTATTATCTTTACCTAGCTACTAATAGTTAATTAATACTATTATAGCTATATTAATTATAATCCCTATAATACTAACACTAATTAGTAGTTAACTTTATAGTTACTACTACTATAGATTAGTAAGGATTATTAGAAGAGGCTATAATACTTTACTTACTATAGTAGCTTAAATTAAAGTATTAAAATACTACCTAGCCTAAAGATTATTAGTACCTAAGATCTTATAATACCTAGTAAATAACCCTTTAAGCCTTATATTTACTATATAATAACTACTATTACTACTATTAACTTTATTATTTTTAGAGAAGTCTTTTTTTTTATATACTACTTACTTACTAATAATCTTTATAGTATTTAGTATAATTATCTTCTTTTTATACCTAAGTTTTTTTAAGTTCTTTTTTTTTTATTTTTTAACCTTTTTTTTTTTTAATTATTAAGATTTTTATCTTACTAAGTTTTTATCTTACTATAGTAGTAATAGCTTATATAAGATTATAAGTAAATAGACTTTTATAAGTTTTTATTTAAATAAGATCTTACTAGTAGGACTAGTTATAAAGTAGTTAAGTAAGAACTACTTAAGTAATTTACTTTTAATATAGTATTTATAAATAAATAGCTTTTACTAACCTTACCTTTATATACTTTTAATATTATATTATTAGCTAGGTGTAGCCTATAGTAATTATAACTTTTTTTTTAACTAAATAGTTAGTAGCTAAGCGTTACTTTTAATAAGTATACCTTTTTTTATTCTTTAAGTAAGGTAAAAAAAGTAAAAGTTACTTATATTACTTTAATTTACTTACTTTTTTTTATCCTTTAAATACTTATTAATAACTATACTATCCTCCTTACTTTTTTTTTTTTTAAGTAAAGTATAGTTATTAGTAACTAATATAACTTTTACTTAACTTTACTATTCTAATTAATTTAAAAAGACTACTTATTATTTACCCTTAAGTAAGGTATATAACCTTAACTTTTTACTTTTCTTCTTTTAAAAATCTTTAACTATAGTATCTTACTTACTAAAAGGTAAGGTCTATATATATCTCCTTTTAGAGGTAGTATACGTCTCCTCTTGTTCTTTAAGTAAGATCTAGTGTAAGGCCTCCCTAAAGCTATCTCTTTATATTACTAAAGCATAAGGCCTCTCTAGAGCTATTTACTACTATCTATTTATTTATTATTTTATTTTTTTATTTACTTTATCTCTTACTTATACCTCCTTATATTATATTATTTATTTACTTATTTTATTATTATCTATACTAATAGTAGTAATTTCTCTAATATATAGATTTACCTCTAACCTTATAGGTAAGAAGTAAGTACTTATAATTAAGAGGTTAGTAAGGCTAATAAAAGGTAATAATAGTAAAAAAAAGACTAAGTAAAAAGTAAAATAAACTATAGGCACTAGCTAGGGTAAAGAAGTATATCTATCTATAGGATATTAAGAATTTATATCTTATCCTAAAGTGTAGCTAGCCTTTTATTATTATATAACTATAAGGTATAACTAATTTAGCTAATATTCCTAATAGCCTTACCTAAGTTAAGTAATATAACGCCTTAAGTACTATTATTATACTTTAAATAATATAATATAGCTTTATATAGCTATATAGTTAATAGCTATAGAGATATACTACTAAAGACTTTGAAAAATAGTTACTTAATACCTTTAAAGGTACTACTTATAAAACTATTATTAAATTTAAAGACTACCTAATATATAAGGGTATATAAGTATTAATAGTAAAGTTACTAACTATTACTAAATAAATCTACTATACCTTTAAGGCTAATAATCTAAAGGTATAAACACTTAAGGATATTAAAGAAAAAAAAAAAGGAGTAAGGATTTTTACTTAAAGATTAATAAACCTAACTTTATATAAAATATTATAGACCTACTACTAGAAATAATATTAATATAAGATTAACTAGGCCTCTCTTATATTATTACTTCTTTAGTATAAGTTACTTAAGTCTAAAAAGGTTAATAAAAGCCTATTAATCTAGCCTTATTATATAATAACCTAAATTTTATTTCTTTACTATTTAAGTAGGTAAGTAACACTTACTTTTACTTATTAGTTATACTAGTTACTACTACCTTACTTATAACTTACTAGCTTACTAACCTTATTAAATTATACCTTAATAAGATAAAGTATAGTAAAAAGGTATATAAGTTACTTAAATTAAAGTTTATAATCTTTTATAACTACTATATAAAGGCTAGGATCTAGTAAGAGCACTTTATAAGCGCCTTTTTTATTATACTTAAAGGTAAGGCTATAAAGTACTATACTAACTATCTTTATAACTAGACTAACTTTATTACTATAGTTATATAAATAAAAGGTAATTTTAAAAATAAAGAGACCTTTTAGGCCTACCTTACTAAGCTATAAAGGACTAATTTAATAAGGACTATCTTAGATAATCTAAATAAAAGTAAGGCTAAATACCTAAAGTTACTTATTAAGAGAGTAACTACCCTTATAAGAATAGTTATAAGGATTAGTACTTTATCTAATATAGCCCTTTATAACTAATTACTTAACTCCTACTATAGGATAAAAAAATACTTCTTTACCTTTTTTAATCTATCTTTAACGTTTACTAGTATATATAGCTAGCTCTAATTAGTAATTAGTAATATAATATAATTTAAATAACCTATATATTAATACCTAACTAAAGAAGTAAATAATTAATACTAAACTAACTATACTTATAATAGCTAGTAAAGTTACTAGTAATTTAGCTAATATAACTATAGCTATAGTAACTTTATACTATAGTGCCTTTTTAATAGTAATCTATAGTAATAAGCACCTCTTTTACCTTTATTATTATTTATAAAAAAGTGCTATATATATAATAAGCCTAACTATTAGTTAATAAGGCACTTAAAAAACAAAAAGTAATAAGCCTACTATAAGTATAAAAAGTAGTATCTAATAGACTTTTTACCTAAAGCCTTTAACTACTTTATAACTAACTTTAAGGGATATAAGCTATTTACTTTAAATAAAGAAAGTAACTATATAAAGAGTAATAAAGATAAAGAATTAGGCACTACGTTTTATATATTAATAACGTTCTTTAACTTATTTACTATTAATAGGCCTACTCTTTTTTTATTACTATATAACTAATTTATAACCTATTTTCTTATAAAAGATAACTTCTTATATAAGAATCTATATAATAATAAGCTACCTAATATAGACGTCTTTACCCTTAATAAGTAATATTTATTTATCTTATTCTATAGTATTATGCCTAACTCTAGTGTAGCTAAATATTTAATAGCTAGATATAAGTAGTATCTTGCCTTTTACTACTAAATAAAAGGAAATCTAGCTATAGATAAGTTATAGGTAGGTAAAGTAAAAATCCGCTTTAGTAGTAGTAACTACTTTAAATTATAAAAGGTAATTAACATACTAACCCCCTTTAGTATACTAACCTTTTATATAATACTATTAAATACCCTGTTTCTACTTTACCTTATAGATATAGATTAGTATAGTATTAAATTTAATAACCTTACTAATAAGCTAATTTAAGGTAATACTATTATACCTACTGTCTATAAATAGGGCTATATATAAATACTACTTAATTAATATAAGTAAAGTATTACCTACTACTATCTTATAAATATTAAGTTATAGTAAATTTATTATTACTTTAGCTACTTATTAGTTAAAAGGCTTTATTATATCCTCTAATAATTTAGTAATAAAGTTAAGATTATAGCCTTAAAGAAATTAACTAAGGTCTACTACTACTACTAAATAAATATAAAAGCGCCTAGTTACTTTAAATTTACTTTATATAATAATAAATATAACTTTAACTATAAGATTATTATTAATATTATTTACTTTAATAGTAACTACTTAGCCTTATATATAGTTAATACTATAATATCCTTTTAAGTAGCCTATTTACTTAAAAATATTACTATAAAGTATATATAAGAGGCACTTTAGATATACTAAATTAACGTCTACCTTAGCCTACCTAACTAGATTATTACTAATACTAGCCTAAACTTTTACACTAGTAAATTTAAGTAGTTAGTAAGGTTACTTTATATTAATATTAAAAAAATACTAATTAAAGCTTATAATAGTATTAGTAAGGTTAAAAAATACTATATACCTCTCTAATATATATATAATATCCTCTATAGTAAGGGCTATACACCTAAAGTTACCTTTTAGCTAGCTATTAAAGTAATTAATAATATAGCTAGCCTAAATAGCCTAGTACTTATACTACTAGTCTTTAGTGCCTACTTATAAATCTCTAACTTATTACTACTTTTACTAACCTTACTTAAAAGGGCTAAAGTAGTAAGAAAAGTAATAAAGGCTATTTACTAGATCTATATAAAAAGGTAAGTTAATAAGGTAGTAACTATATATAACAGCCTAAATACTACTATAATAGTAGCCTTTTTACTTTAATTTATAGTCTATATCTAGCGTAAAAAAAAAAGCTAGTAAGGCCTTTTTTATTTTATTACTAGTAATAAGACTACTTATACTATTAACCTCCCTTAAGGCCTATAAACTTTTTATTTAACTATTATTAAACTATACCTTAAAGATACTTATAATAAGTAATAATAGCTACTCTTTAAGGTAGGTAGGTAAGGTAATAAGGAGAATAATAATAATAGTATAGTAGCCTTATTACTTACTAATATCCTTATACTTACTAAAGAAATATATAATAGTATTACTATTACTATACACCTATAGCTAAAATAAAAAGCTAGCTGCCTATAAAGGTATATTAATTTCTTTAATAAAACTAGCTTTACTATTAGGCCTACTGCCTTTTTTACTACTATAAGTATAGTATACGTCTTAATAAAAGAAAAAGCTAACTAACTATTATTAATTAAACTATAAAAAAAAAGTATTATTACTACCTTAAGAAAGCCTTTTAAGTAAGTAACTACTACTAAGATTAAAAGGCTTATTACCTATAAGGTATTTTACTTTATTTAATATAATAAGAATAAGTATACTAAAGTATAAATATTTAAATTATAAATTATTAATAAGGTAAAAGGCTAAAATAAAAAACTATATAAGAAATCCTACTTAGTTATCTAAAGATATACTAATAATAGTAAAGAAGTAATTCTTACCTAGTTACTTATAATCTAGTAAGCTAGCTAGTGCCTTATTTTTACTTTTACTTTATCCCTTATTTATAATAATAATAATTTCTTACTTTAGTTATATAATATTACCTAGGTGTATATATAGTTAACTACTTTATTAAATTATATAATTCTTATATACCTTTTATTATAAATATAAGACCTCTATCTAAAAGGCACTATTATATAAGTAGTAAAGCTGTTATATAGTATTATAAAGGTAGGCACTTACTAGTAAGTAATATATAGTTATTACTATAAAGAAAAGCTCTAGATAAAGACTTTAACTTTTAATTTATACTTACTAATTACTAATATAGAGAGCCTAGACTTTAGGATTATTAGTATATAGACTAATAATACTATTACCTTTTTAGATAAATCCTTTTTTACTTATAAGGCTAATAAGCTTACTAAGGCTATATTTACTACTAAGGAGAAGTAAATCCTTACTATTAATAACCTACTTACCTTTAATAGTAGCGTAGTATCTCTAACTACTAAAAAGAAGCTTCTTCTCTAATAAAAAGGCTAAAGTAAAAGACTTTAACTTATTAATAAAAAATCTCTATAAGCACTTAAGTAGTATATTAAGTAATAGGCCTATAGTATATATATTACGTTAGTCTACTAGCCTAAAGTATACTTTAACTACTTTATTATAGTATAATACTAATTACCTAATATAAATAAAATTAAAGCACTTAACTATTATATTATATAGTAAATAAATAACCTTAACTATAGTCTATTATTTTATTTACTTAACCTTAAATCTATAAAGCTTTTTATTTTTATAAATAGATTATTTATAAATAATAAGGACTTTACTTTATAGCTAGGATTTATTATTATTCTTATTAATAAGGTACCTATAAGTACTACTATAAGTAATAAATTTACTATAACTAGTAATATTATTTACTTTAGCTTAATAAAGTATAAGTAAGTTACCTAAAGTATACTAGCCTTTAAGATCTATAGTATAGTTACTAGTACTAATATTACTTATACACTTAGTATAACTATTATAATAATTACTAACTACTTTAAGCTACTATATATACTAATAATCCTTTATACTAACTTATACTTACTTTATAAGTACTTTATTAAGCTTAAGACTATAAAAAAAAAAGGCTTATAATTAATATTATAACCCTTTAGTAGTTATATAAGTAATATAAAGTCTATAAGGTATAATAAATATAAGGTAATAATAATCCTACTAATAGATTTACTAAATTATTACTTAATAAAGCACTAAAATAACTAGTTAGAAATAAAATAGTTTAGATTAGTATAAAGAGATAAGTTTCTTAAGCTACGTAATAGATTATATAAATAAAAAGTATTAAATACTTTTAGGCTTTTAATTTTTATTACGTTTTTAAGCTTTTTAGCTACTAGGTAGTATTTAGGCTATTTATAGTAATTTTTTTTTACTTTAGAAAGTTACTAGTGTTAGGATATTTAACTATTTAATAGTAAAGCTAATCTATAGTTATATAATTTACTATTATGTGACTTACCCTAGCGGCTTACTTACACCACTATAAATACCTATAGCAGCAACCTCTTCTCTTTTCCTTTCTCATTATCTTCACCCAGCTACCAATAGTCAATTAATACTATTGCGGCTACATTGATCGCGATCCCTGTGATACCAACAGTGGCAAAGTTACACGTGAATTAATCAGCAAATGCACAGTTGCCCTATAGCAAATTGTCAGGTGTCAAATGTGGCAAAGTTACACATGAATTAACCGGCGAACGCATAGTTGCCCTACGGTGAATCGTCAGGGAATAGGCAGTAAAATTGCCCACTTTCTAAGTAATTTCACTAATTAAATAGCTAGGATTAGCCTAGGATTTCCTAACTAAAGAATAAGGGGATTTCCTTATTCCTATAGGATTTTACTATCCCTTTAGTTGCCACCAGACCTCATTAACCTCTTGTGTGGGGTAGGGCGAATTAGATAAACAGAATTAAGTCTAAAGTCTAATAGTGTTATAGTACTCTGTACTTCTATTTCAATGGCGTTTTGCCTACATGAAAGGTATTAATAATCTCTAAATCTACATAGAGGTACATTTGTTATTGGCCCTCTGTTGCTTTATCTGCCTATAATTACTAGATACCTTACCTTGAGCCTTACTTAGTTAGTATCTGTTATGTATCTCCAAAAATGAGGAGTAAAAGTGGGGGTGGGTCCTCCAACGGGGTTACTGAGGTCCGGCGGCAACTAAAGGGATAGATATATATAACATAATTAATTAATTAACTATTATAATCCCTATAATTTAACAAGTGTCCCTACATAAGTAATATAGTCTGTTAAGAGAAGTGGTGTAGTGCACGCTTTAGGACTAATAGTTCTAAAACATGACAGATAAAAAGAAGGGAAGGTTGTGAGATGGACCTCCGGCGGGCTAGGGAGACCAGTTAATACTTGTTTGGCTCCCGTAATGTACATAATCATCGGCGAAGGAATAAAAGCTGTCATTATATTATAGTAAAAGGCATTCAGGTCGTTATATCCAGGCGTTCCCACCCTATGTACCCTAACTTCCCAACGACAAATGCTATGAGACGCGCCCTCCCGAGCATCAAGCTCAACTCCGGATATCATCAGGAACATGCCATCGATGTCTGATCTTCTTGTAGCTTCCCTCACGGCACCCACGGCCGACCTTCTTCTATGACACTCCTTTGCTGAACTACCAACTCCTCATATGTGTCCGGAAGCCGGGGCCACTGAGGCTGCATCCACTCGTCGTTGGCGGGAACAGCGGGAAAGCCGCTCTTCAGCGTCAGGACGGCGTCCACAGTCTCGTTCGTCTCGTCGTCATCGACCTCCGAGTCGGCCTCGTCGAGAGGCGTATAGGACTGAAACGGCTCCTCGCGTCGGACGGCGTCGACAGCATCCTTGATAACCTCTTCCCACCAGTCCACCTCGTCCCACGATTGACTCTCTTCGTATTCTAGATCAAGTTCCTTGACTTGGACATGGTCCCGGGTCGCAGATTTGGGCACTGGTTTCCCGTTGTTGTCATCCGTACCATCGTCGCCTTCCAAGATCTCGAGCTGCGTTGGGCTTGGGGCTCTCCTGCCCGGCTGCATGGCGTGGACGGCCTCAATCGACAAGCCAGTGATGATGGAGACCGCCGTCTCGACGCCCCTTTTGACCGCGAGGGCGCTCAGAAGCAACTTGAGCGCATGTTCCCAGCGGCCCTGCAGCATGAACATTTTGCCCCTGCACCATTCGTATTTGATGAAATTCCGGTGCTGGCTCGGCCGGCCCCAATACTCCCTCTGCAGCTGGGAATACGCAATGAGCGCGTTTGTCTTATCCTTTGCCAGCTCGTACAGGTACGCGAGGTACTTGAGGATGTTGCGGATCTGTGCCTCGTCCTTGAAATCGTCGGATGCCGCTCGCTCGATTTCTAGGCACTTGCGGTACTCGTATGCCGCTTCTTCGTGGAGGCCGGCGTGGCGGAGCGTGTGGGCGAGGTTCAGCCGGGTCTCAAGAGTCTGTTCGACCACACGTGCAACGTCGCTTGCCTCCCGCCGGCACATGTCGCGGAGAATGGAAATCGCCTCGTCCCATCTGCGCAGCGCTTTCAGGGCCGTGACGTGGTCTTCCATGTTCCTCAGGGTCACAGGGCTGCAGGGCCCGAAGCGTGCTCTGTGCTCGTCCAATACCCGTTGGAATCTCCGGCAGAGAGCGACGACCTCCTCGTATCTCTTCAGGCGAAGGCTTGTGAGTCTCGCCAGCTTCAGAGTCCATTCGCCGTTGGCGTAGTGCAGGAGGTCGGCTGCCAGATCCATGTTGCCGATCTCCACCCGGGCTTCCTGATCCCTACCGCGCTCGGACAGGCACATTGCAATATTATAGTCAATGGCAGCCTTCTCCTCATGACCAAAGACGGGAACTTCCTCGTTCCAATCTCGTGCGATTCGATAAGCCATCTCAGCCTCCTCGTACTTGTCCTGGTTGACCAACATGCTCGCCAGGTCACGCTGGGCTTCGATGGTTGTTACATGGCGCTTGCCCCTCCTCTTAACCAGCGTCGGTACGAGCTCACGGAGCAGCTTTTCTCCCTCGGCCCAGCGACTCGTGTAATAGTAAATCTCGCCAAGCTCGACCATGGAATGCACACAAAAATCACGCCACGAACCGGTGAAGAGCGTCCAGCGGAAGGACTTGCCCGGTCGCTCGCGGCTTTGACGGAGCAGGCGCTCAGCCAGGTGGGCCAACTCTTCGGCCTCGGCAATGTCGCCTAAATCCTCACGGCGCACGAGGGTGTCGCCGAGCAGCAGGACGGCGCGCATCAGGTAAAAGGTCTGGTCCTCGCTCGTTGGAAGACCCTCGAGGAGCAGTTTGGCCATCCGGAGATGGTGCTGGGCGGCGATCCAATTCTCCGGGGTTTGGTTGCGGTAGGCGTGGCCGACGCTCAACAAGGCCAGGCCCTCGGTCAAAGTCCCCAGGCCCTGCGACTGCTGCAGGGCGATGATCCCGAGCCTCAGGGCCATGAGCCATTTTCCGCGGACTTTGAGGATTTCCGAGATGCCCAAGAGAGTGAGAATCGAGGCTTTGTCGGTGTTGCGGCTCACCGCCCTCCATCGCGTGGCCGCCTTGATCGGGCGCATGGCGGATGGCTGGGCTGGCTCACCGCGTCGGGGTTGCGTGGTGGGGAAATCGCCCCGGAGGACCCGGCGGTCGCTCTCGTGGTCGTCGCTATCGTTACCGTCGTCGCTGCGTTTGTATAAGAGACTGGCAGAAAACCGGTGGCTTCAGCCAAGGAAAAACGTCGTACACGAACGCCCAACCGGTGAGGAATGCGACCGTTCAGAGGAGAGGAGGGCAAAAGTGAGATGTTGGTGAGTCGAATTTTGATCAGCGACGGGCGAGTTGGGCGAGCCTCGACCAGTAGCCGTTCTCCCTGAGAAGCCACGTCCGGCCACAGACTTTGGAGCTATGGCTGCAAAGTCGCGCGACGGGAGAGTGGATTAATAAAGGAGGGTAAGGGAGGTGAAGGAGGCGAACTAGCCCGCCCGCAAGTCACGCAGAGCACCCCTCCGTCCAGCCACCACGTCTGAGCTAGGTACCTAGTGACGGTTGTGATGGCGAGCCTCAAAAGGTTATCGGTCTTGGTAGGTAGGTAGAGAAGAAACAGGAGGGGGAGTGGACGACATCAGGTTTGCTTGCTGCTGCGGCTTGCTCATAGCCTGAACAGAATGGCGAGCGATATCCCTTGGCTTTTTTGCCTTCGGCCTTCATTTGGGCTCGCAGGTTTTAGGAGACCCAGGGAGGGGAGAGGGAGAGAAAGAGGGAATATTGCGCCGATATGGTACGGGATGGGGCCGAGGAGGCTGGACCGACCTTGTGTGTGCATATGCGTCATGTGACTGACCATTCAGACCGAAGCACTTGTTCTGCAGATCAAGGACATGCCAGTGGACGGACGTGCTTCAGACCAAAGCTAGGTATATAACGCCCAATCACTGAAAACTAGACTATGCGGTAAGACCGGCTGCTGAGGGGATGCCGTGCGGAGGTCTGGGCCGGCGTGGTACCACGATTGTTGTGCGAAGGGGGGGGGGGGGGATGCAAATGGAGAACACAGCTTTCAAGCGGCGAGCGGGAAGCCCCTGGAAAGGGATCAGCGCTTGACAAGAGGTATCAATAAAAAGAGCCTTTAAGGCCCCAATCGGGGACAGGATTGGGCAAGACATGCCTCGCATGGACAAGGTTGGGAGAGACAACCTTGGTGGTGGCGAGAAGAAACGCTTTTGGGACTTCTAGACCAAACATAGCCTCCCCGAGCGCCAAAACATTTCAACATTCTTGTAGGTAGTCTCCCTTCCTAGCCCCATCTAGCTCTATTATCTAAGCAAGATGTGAATCCAAGGGTGTAACAAACGGCGCTATGAGAAGCCCAGACGCACCGTGCCATCCCCCAACAGTATCGTCTTCGCGCTTTTCCCTCACTCCCTGCAGTGTTCTTAAGAGAATCCTTGCGAAGAGCTGTGGGCAATAGCGTTGCAGCACAGTAAGTACATGGTATGGTATTCCATCAGCATGACAAAACAAATGTCGGAAAAAGAAAGCAGACAAGACGTCTGTACCGCACGAATCCGTACAGTTGCTTGTTATTATTGAGTGTACACCACGGAGTGCAGCGGATGCACATCGGGATCCCCAGTCCGACTTGCCTACGTAACGGACCTTGGAGCAAAATCTGAAACAGTCCATCAACGGGCCCATGATGGCGGCGCTGAGACTGAGCGCATTCCCGATCCAACCCCCTGGGAGATGCTTACTTCCTTCTTTCCTCTTCCCCCAGACCACACTAACGCGCTTGTGCGCAGAAAAGTCGACGTGTTTTTTTGACCGTGGCATACGTACTCGATGTCCTACGATGCTCTGGGTTTCCCGCGACATAGAAGAAAGAGTATGACGTACAGTCCGTTTACTGGCGCGACACCCGACACACGCCACAGTGCCCTACACTTTGACCCCCTTTCCTATTTTTGCCCTGTAAGGGGACGTGCAATTCCCGACAGCCGTCGACTGGTTCCTGCGTGTCGAGTACGTTGTCCGATCTTACCTTATCATTTGACTGAAACACGAAATAAGAAATGAAAAACACCCAGCCGCAGTCTGTACCTCTGCTGCAATCGGCAAGCCTCAGGGGTCTCTGGGTTCTAACCATCAATTTTGCTGATGCCTTGTAACAGTTCTTACTCGTTTCTGCCAAAATGATGGACAACTATAGTGGGGGGGAGGGGGCCACGGAATTGACTGCCACTAACGACGTGAGTCGATCATTTTGAGCCCAAAGGTTGGTGGTCGATGTTCTCCCTGGCGACTTTTTCCCCCGAGGGCTTTGATAATCGTGCAGAATGAATCGCTGGCCTATTGCTACTTTACAGAATTGAAGGGGTGTATTACAAGATGAGTTCTACCGTAAATGTGACCATAATCTATGAAACCAACCAAAGGGGAATGAGACCAGCATCAACCACCTGCGGTCACTTGCAGCTACAAGGCATTATTCTCATATTCAACCACTAAACATCAATACTTTCATGCCTTCTTTACCTTGCTCTTCTTTGGCATACGCGCCAGCCAGTATATCAGGACTATCATGCATATATTAAAGATTGTGTACACCCACAGGAAGCCAAAGTCCCTCCAACGATTACCGAATTTGACTCCGATACCGCTCAGGAAGGCATTGGTAGTGGCCAGGGCGCAGTACTGACAGTTGGCACCATTGCCTGCGTTTGGGTCTGATAGATAGCCTCCAGCGACGGAGATGTAATCAGACAAGTATTGCCCGCAAGTCTGGTTACTTGGAGCGGTGAGGACGACGTATTCGTTTGCAGCACAATGTACTGCAGCGTTGGCTAAGGATGTGCCCAGGAAGCCTTCCACAACATATGTGAGTGGGTTTACCCGGTACATGAAGGTCCAGAATCTCGGGAGATCCCTTGGACCAGCAATGATACTAGCCGACGTCAGCCATGTCGCCCGGTTTTCGGGTTCGACAACGAGACTTACCCGCAGAACAAGAACATCATGATTGCGAAGAGATTGACAAGGCCGCCAGCAATTTCAACGCTCGGCAGACCGGCGATTAGCATTTGGGCGAAAGTACCGGCGAAGATGAAGAACATCCAAACATGGAGGACCATGGCAATGCCACGGGAACCGACATCATTCATGGGATACGCGTTCCGGTACAACCCAATCGGGTAGTACCAGCAGATGAAGCTGAAAACTGCGATGACCTGAGTTGATGTCAGCCGCGATCGCTTCCACCACTGGCAAAGGGACACTCACCGAGTTCCAGGCCATCTCCACGATGATGTTGGCGAACAGGAACGCCGTCCACGAATATGCCTTCGAAGGTCTCTCGCGGGCCTCGTACATGGTGCGTTGAGACACGAAAACGGGCATCAACTGTTGCCCAATCTGGCCGAACATGGTTATAAAGATAAAAACACCAAAAGCCTGGTTCTGCAGGCCACGTTGGGTGTTCTTGGCATTCAAAAAGGAGAAACCAATAAACAATGCCTGTTTTCGGTCAGCCGAGCCCCAAAATGGAGGACACTTGGGGGGGGGGGGGGGGGGGTGTTGACTCACCACGCCAACAGACAGGGTCGCCTTGGAGTAGATGTATGAAGGGCTGCGCCAGTATTGTTGAAACACGCGTGTCGTTACCTCTTCAAACTGAGTTATATAATCGGCAGCGAACTCCTTGTAACTGGATGGATCTGGTTTGATGGCCGGTGCAGACTCAGCCGAGGTGCCTGCGATCAGTCTGGCCAACTCATCCTGGACCGACTGATACTCGGGCGTCTGACGCCAAACGGCGGGCCAGTCGATGTCCGTATGGGCTCCGGGAGCCGCACCAATGACCTCCAGCATATACTCCGCAGGGTTGGCCCCAGGCGGACAATCAGGACCTCCATTGCGGACGAAATAGTCAACCAAGGTTTGTGAATTCCTACCGATTTCGCCAAAATACACCGTGCGACCTCCACGGGCGAGAAGAAGGAGTCGGTCGAACCGCTGAAATAACATTGCCGAGGGCTGATGGATGGTGCACAAGATGGCCTGGCCGCTCTTGGTCAGCTTTTCCATAAGGTCGCAGATGGACCATGACGTCTGGCTGTCGAGGCCAGAAGTAGGCTCGTCGAGAAACAGCAAGAGCTGAGGACGAGCCGCGAGCTCTACACCAATGGTAAGTCTCTTCCTTTGCTCAACATTCAAACCTTCGCCCGGGACGCCAATAACGGCATCTGAATATTCCCCCATCTCTAAGAGGTGGATCACAGTATCCACATACTCGAGCTTTTCCTTTCTAGTATAATGCGCCGGCTGCCGAAGCATAGCGCTGAAGTTGAGCGCCTCACGAACGGTCGAGGTGTGAAGGTGGAGATCTTGTTGCTGGGCATACCCCGTTTTGCGCTGGAAGGACTCGTCGCGGGGCTGTCCATTCACAAGCATCTCGCCGGATATGACTCCCATTGTCACACGTGTGGCGAGAACATCCAACAAGGTTGTCTTGCCCGCTCCGGAAACACCCTGTTTCGCGTGAGCAAAACTCTTTCCAAATTTGTATAGTACTCCTGACTTACCATAAGTGCAGTGAGAGTGCCAGGCTTGACCCAGCCACTCACCTCATCCAAGATACGCCGAGGCTCGCCCTTGATCTTGATGTCATAACAGACATCTTTCCAGTGAAAGACGGACGCCTGCTCCTCTATACCGCTACTATTCCCATTGTTGTCGCTACTTGTCTGCTGAGGATTGCTGGCAGAATCACTCTCGACATCGCCAGTCCATTGCTTGCGAAATCGTCTCATAGCTTTGCGGCTGAAGACCAAGACCTCGCCCTTCGATCGCTCGGATGAGATATACTCTGTAGCACATAAATGCAGTACCATGAAGAACATCATCCAAGCGATCAGGATACCGAAGTTTCTCCATCGGTGCGAATTCTCAAAGCTGTATAATGTAAGAAGATAATCTGTACCCCGAACGAAGTCTTGACCAAGGACAGATGCGGGTGAGGAGCAGGCTCGCTCATTCGAGGCCACCGAGTTATAGTTCGGACCCTGGGGGATAAAAGTCGAGCACGGGAAGTCTCGCCCAACAAACTCGTTCACCAGAACACTCTCAAGCCCATAATAGGCCGGGTTTATCCACCTGATCCAAGCAAGCCAAACCTGCATGTACTGCGGTGGGAGTGCAAAGCCCGCGTAGAGTGATATCATGAAGAGGATGAGCGAGCCTGGGGCCAGTGCCTGAGTGATAGACCTTGCAGCTGATCCAATCAGCCGGAACATCATTGACATGACCAATACCATTGTGAACGAGATGAGCAGAAAGAAAAAGAACGGTCCGGGTTCTCGCCGAAGATTGCCCATAAAGTAATAGATCGTATTGATAAATATGGCGTTGACGATCTTGTAGGGCATATCCACTATCATGGAAGAGAGGGCCTCGGCGCTAGGATGGTACAAGGCGTACCGGGAGTGCTTCTCGACTATTTTACGCTTGGAATATAATAGCATGATCTCCAGAATACTCCCAAAGGCGTTGGTGAGGATGATAAAGAAGAGCAGGATAGCACGGCGATTCATGCTTGACGTGCCTGGAGGCAGATTGTAGAAGATACTGCTGGTGATTAAGGCCTGAGAGACGTTCGTCATGATCATGGACACTGGGATACTAGGGTCGCCTTTAAGCATCACCCAGTTACGCCACAGGGTTAGACGCATCTGTTCCATGTATGAGAGCGTAAAGGGAGACCTCGCGCGCTGGAACTTGGACTGGTCAATCCTCCGGGATTCGAGAAACTTCTCGTGGTGCTCTCCGTGGAACGGATGGCGATGGAGATAATCGTCGACGTCTTCCATAAGACGCGCGCGGTATTCGCTCGCCTTCCACGCCTGAGCAAATTCTTCCGGACTTCTCGGCGTCCTGCCCTCCCATCCGGGTCGGATGACGCGCTCTTTATGGCTGGTCATCGAGGTCAGAAAGTCGGCTGTTGTCTGCTGCTCAGGGCAGACGAATCCTAGCTCTTCAAAGTACGCCTTTGCATCACTGGTTTTGCCGAAGAAAATCTGCCTGCCTTTGTACAGGACCAGAACTTTGTCAAAGATCTTGCCCATGTTAGTTTCAGGACCTCGGGACTCTGGGCGTGTTGATAGGATCATTTACATCGTATGCGCCCTGGGAAGCTTGGTAGATAGCGACGCATGAGGTCGAGCCCATGATGTCGGCCTGCGTCCGTAATGTTCGGCAGAACTCGAGGGCGTTGGCGCTGTCGAGGCCCCTCGTGCTGTTGTCCCAACACTGCAACGGCGAGTTACTCAACGCGGCCTCCGCGATAGTGACTCTCTTTCTCTCGCCACCGCTCACACCGCGGACAAAGTCATCGCCAACACGCGTGTTTTTTGTGTGAGATATGCCGAATATGGCCATGATCACATCTCGGATATGCTCGGCGTACTCTCGTTTCGACAAGCCCTCTGGGATGTTCTTGGGGCACCGGGCGCGCGCGGCAAAATACAAGGTGTCCCCCACGCTCAATTGCGGGAAGTGGTCATCAACTTCAGCCGTGTAGATCGCCTCGCCCCTGAACGCCGTGCGCATGGCCTTCGGGTGAATGCCCTGGTAATTGATCGTTGCGTCGTCGTCGATGTAGAAGCCATGCGTGTCGCCGGCCACCGTCTTTAGAAATGTCGAACATCCGGAGCCAGGTGGACCTAGCACAGCCAGCAGCTCGCCGCTGTGAACGACACCCTCTATATCGTGAAGGATGTCAATCCGCTGGTCTCTTCTTCCCAGAAGCTTCTTTACCACGGTTGAGAGCCCAAAGAAGACGTTGCTCACGCTTTTCTGGTAATCGGTGGATGAGCCATAACCGAAAATGCTGAGGTTCTTGAATGCGATGCCAGTCGTCCTGGGGGGGTTGCCTTCGGAAGTATCGGTACGAATGTTATAAAAAGCCCTCACCCACTCACTGGCGTCGAATACATCGCTGTTGGGATCCAATGGGCCTCCGGCAGCCACTGGAAACAAGGCGTCGGGGGCAGGGAGGGATTGCGTAGTGAAACTGCGGGCGAGCTGCGAGACCTCATCGTTCATTATTGGTGCTGTCTGAGCAGCATCTTCATGCTTCTTGCATGTGCATACTGTTGCCGTCTAATCCTTTGATCTGGTATCTGGACGGTGGCGGCGGGTGATGGTAAGAACTTAAGAGAGATGAAAGCAACGTCAATATCGACTTTTTCTAGCTCCTAGCTATGACCAAACCACGGTTTTCTAGAAAGCGCTTGGACTTGACGAGTGTGCGCAAGAATAGCTTCGCTTCTCGCCTGTCTGCCACTAGGCAACACAGGGAGGGCTATCGAATAACTATACGTTTCTCTTACCCACTGTCTCGTCCAAATAAACAGCCGAGGACTTTACGTATCAAAATTCTAAAAAAAATTGGCTTGGGCAATCGCATCGCCTTGAGTCATAGGAAGTTACTAGATGGATTCCATTCGCAGAGGTCTGTGCTGCTGTCTGGCAAATCACCAGGCCCCATGATCACTATTGTCATACCACATGGCCGCTTTGATGGTTGCTTGGACAAAGAACAACATCAGGTATCAGGAACGGACGAACGGCGGGGGTCATGGCTGCAAAATGAAGAAAGTTAGAATAATCGTATGCGCAACCCTGAAACGCATGGGTTCTATTCGGCGTTCTCAGGATCCTTCACCGAGCGGTCTACGGTCTCCCTCCGGTCGGCGCGTCCATGGAGATCTGCGTCACTGGTCATATGGGCTCCCTCATCATTTAACTTACATCTGATTGAAGATCTGGAAGTCAGAAGGAAATTGGTCTAGATTACTCAAGTTCATGAGATGTTGAATTCCTGCGAGAAGACATGTCAATGCCCCGCGTTTATTGGTCTTTCCAACCCTTCCTCTTCCTCTGATTCATTACCCAGGGGCTTTAGTCAGCATTCTGTTACGCTAAAACCTCTTGCTCACGCAAAGGGCGAAAAAAGGGGGGTTGCAGTGAGAAAAGGGGGGTTGCACCCTATATCACGAATAGTATGACGTTTACGTGCGTTGTATAGTATAGTCAACTCTTTATTTCTTAAAGCAACAGCAGCCACAGCGTCGAATAACAAAAAGAGCCATATAAATCAATAGCCCTGAATTAGGACTACATAACGGTACCTTACTTCTATACTGCCGGGCCAGTTGGCGGATAGACGGTACGGCAAGGGGCTTGCCAGCCCGGTTGAATTGAGCCCGTTGCTAGGCGGCAAATACCACTTCAGCAGCCTTCTTGGCAGCAGTCATGTTCTTATCACATTGGCGGGGCATGATGAATAAGTTCAAGTGGGGTAGTTGGTTTAGTTACTCTTGATATCTGTCGATAATGTGTCCAAATGATTGATTGTTTTGGTGAGAATATAACGAGAAGTAGGACAGTGAGGGGATAGGCTGCAACCCCCCTTTTTTCTCCCCCTCCGTGAGAAGGGGCCTTCAACAAATAGACTCTCGTAGGCGTCATCTTCCCTATTACGAATGCGAGAAAACAAAAAGCAACGGTTGACGAAATATTTGCAGTGCTTATTATTTATATCTATACAATGCTGTGCTATATCATCCGAATTATTGTCTTGGAAAGTAAGCTGAGTAAATCACCACGTGAATGGCTTATCAAAGTCAGCATCCATTTAGAGAAATTGTCAGTTCTATACGATTCCTGTATCACCCAGTTCTCACAGCAGGGGATCTTCTTTGAGTACCTGAGCATACGCTCTTTCTATCAAATTTACCCGTTCAGGACTCCTTGGTTGAAGATCAAACTCGAAGGCTTTTGGCTGAACGTTAAACCCTTCAACAAAATCGTATAACGGAGGTACGATGTCTTCACCTTTGCCATCTTTGGCTCTGGAAATGTTGCAACCCCAAGCAAGCATTGCAATCTTGAGATTCAGACTCCGTTCAGCGATGTTGATGCCTTGGCAAATCCTACGACCGTGGCCAAAAGCAGAAAACTGCTGCAGGTTGGGATAAACACCGAGAGGTTCCTTGTACGTAGGGTACTTGGGATCCAGCCAGCGGTCAGGGTTGAAGAGTTCAGGCTCTGGGTACTGCTCTGGATCCCGCTGGATCGCCCACTGCACGGCGTGCACGATCGTGCCCTTCTTCAAGAAATACCCCTGATACGTGTCGTCCTCTGTAAGCCGATGTGGGAAACCCCCGGCCGTGATGGGATAGTATCGCAGTGTCTCCTTAACGCATGCTCTGACTAGTGGAAGTTGCGATATATCGCTGAAAGTAGGCAGTCTGTCAGCTCCGACTACGGGATCGACCTCCCTCTGAAGCTTTTCAAACCATCCCGGGTTGCGCACCATGCAGAGTATAAACGCCGCAAGCGCTGACCCGGAAGTTGTTGCTGCTGCTTGGAAGACCGACCCTAGCATCCAATTCGCCTCGCGTCGCGTCAGTCCCCACTGCTCTTTGGTATCTTTCCAAGTCCTCGCCCAAGACGGTGATTTACTTCGGTCGATGAGATCGTGGAAAAAGTCTTCGTCGCGGCGTCTCCGGGCTCTAAGATACTTCTTCCAAGGGGCAAGCCACTCTGGCAGATACATAAGAGACGGGAATAGATCAACCAAGTATGCTCCCGGCGAGCCCACACGTTCGAGTTCGTGGACAATGTCGAGAATCATCTTAGCGTCACTGTCATGCCCGGTCTCGAGGCGTAGACCGTAGATGATTCGCAAGCCTATTCCAACACTGAAGCGCTCAAATAGAGATTCGTAGTCTTCCGGATTCCGAATGAGATCTCGCAGCAACCTTACTGCCTCGATACTTTGTTCAGGCTCATACAACGGTGCGACAGGCGACATGGTGACCTGGTGAAGGAACCTGCGATAGTTCCGCCATCTCTCATCGTACGGGAGCAGCAAGAGCATGTGGTCATCAGTCAGGAGATGAGACGAAGCCGGCGCATAATGTCGGTCACTATACAGATTGCCGCGCTGGCGTAAGAGGTCGTTGGCGATAGTTTCAGTACCGAGGAGGACGTGCTCTTGGCCCGGCAGAGAAAGGCGGACGATTGGGCCATGCTGCTTGATAAGCTTGTGGAATGCGAGCCAAGAATGTGCCGGTGGGATTGAGAGTAGATTTCCGATAAGGGGTTTGGGTTTAGGACCTGGCGGAAGGGTAGTCCCCGGTGGAAGATGCGGTCGCTTAGGACGTAGGACGGCGTAGACGAGGGCGAGAAGGATCGCCGCCCCAGCCGCCAGATACGGGTTGACGACACTTCGAAAGGGGAACATTGCCTAGTGGGGCAGACGTGTCGATAATGGCGGCGAAGGGTCTAGGACATGTAGACACAATGTCATGATCGATGTATTTGTTGCGATGTTGACTATCGCCTGGATATCGGCGGTATGGATTAACGCCAAACGGCCGGAATAACTACGGCTGATTCGCCGTGGATCCACCGGATTTGTAGGGATATTACGCAGTGGATTTGCCGCGTAATCCCATAATAGTTTCTTTTCCTTTACGTATAATTTAGAACTAGTATTTACCCCTATTATTTATTACTGCCTATTAATACGTATAGTTAACTATTAAATAGTAGGGATTATAATAGTTAATTAATTAATTATATGTTATGTTATGTATATCTCTAGTAAAATCCTATAGGAACAGGGAAATCCCCCTATTTCTTAGTTAGGAAATCCTATGCTAATTCTAGCTATCTAATTAGTAAAATCACCTAGAAAGTAAGGTAATTTTACTGCCTATTCCCTAATAATTTACTATAAGGTAACTGTGTATTTACTAGTTAATTTATATGTAATTATGCTATATTTAACACACCCCCTTAGCGCTAGTAACGCGGTTAATTACTGTAGAGCCTGCGCTAAATATCCTCTATATATAGCCTATTTATTAATTATTCTTTAATATCCTATACGTTTTCCTCCTCTATCTAGCAGTAAAGCTTTACTTTATTATTAGCTAATTCTTACTATTAATTTACTTTAAGGCGTATATATTAGTTACTTATATTTAATTAAGCTATAAATATAGTAAATTATAGCGCGCTAAGCGCCTTTATTAATCTATTAGCTATTAATTTAGTAGACTTCTTATATTTAATAGTAATCTAATTTACTACTACTTCTTACTACAGCTAGTAGTTATAAATATCTATATGCTATAGCCTTATCTATAGTTAAATAAGCTTTTTAGTAATAAGCCTAATAGTTTAGGTATTATTATAGCTAACGTAAATAGTTAGTAGCTGTTTAGTAGCTACTTGCTTATTAAGTAATAATTTAGTTCCTAGTTAATTTAATAGTTAAATACCTAGTGTAGTAATTAATCTACTAGTAAAAAGCGCCTCTTTTATAGCAGATAATAACGCTAGTAGTTTAGCCTTAGTAGTTAACGTTATTATAGTATCTTATTTATTTACTTACTAGGAGATAAGCCCTCTAAATAGCTTTAAAATATACGCCTATAAGCTATAATAATTTAGTAAGTTATTAGTAAATAAGGCGTCTAATATAACCTCTAATATATTGTCCTTACTGCCTAGTGCTGCTTTATATTTAAGGTAAAAGTGCTATATTTAATAGAGATATCTAAGCATATAATTTATAGCCTTTTAGTAATCTAGATTTAGATTATAGTTAATATAGGTAAGCTAGCTAGCTATAAAAGTAATATCTAGCTAAGTTATTACTACTATATAAAGGATTATTTTTACTTTTTTTTAATATTTATTAACCTTTTATAATAAGGCTATATATTTACTAAGTAGTAGCTTAGTTTTTATTATAAGTAATAATTTATTATATTTATATTTATTATTTATTAGGAGTAGTTTAGTTATTTTATTATAATATACTACTTATAAGAGCTAGAGATAATAGCTACTTTAGTTATAAATTACCTTAAGGCTAAGGAACTATTATAGCAGGCCTCTACCTTTAAGGTAGTATTATTACTAAAAGGCTACTATCTTATTACTTACTTACGCTTTATCTATATAGTAATAAGCTAATATATAGTTATTAATATAAAAAAAGAATATAATATAATTCTTCTTCTAATAGTAATTCTTACTAGGTACTTAGTAAAAGCCTTATATAGTAAGCCCCTCTTTAAGGTGCCTTTACTATAGTAAAGGTAATTATTAAAGCCTATATAGCGCTTTTAATAGCTAGAAGATCTAGCTAGTAATTTAGTAGCCTAGAGGTATCTTTATAAATACTACCTTATTAATAGTAGTATAAATAAATATATTAACTATATTATATTAAAGTAATTCTAGATTAAAATAAGTAGCTATTACTATAAGTATTTTAAATAACATACTTACTAATATAGCTATATAGGTATCTTATAGATCTTTTACTTATTAGTTACTATAAATAATAAGTCTTACTTTAAATTTAGTTAATTAACTATATTTATTAAGCTTATAGGTATATACCTAGTAGTAGCTAAGGATTTAATACCTTTTAGCTACTACTTATAGCACTATTACTTAAGATTTTAATATTTTATACCTATATAAGTATACTTTTTTAGTGTCTTTAAATTACTTTTTATATAGGTAGAATTTTAACTGCCTGTAAATTAGTAGAGGGTGTAGTGACTTCTAATATATACCTATTAGCCTATAAAGTCTAGTAACTCCTTTATTACATACTAGTAATCTGCTAGTAACGTCTTTATAACTATTAGGCCTATTAGGTATTATATAGTTAATTAAGTAGCCTTAGGCGCGCTTTAGCTAAAGGTAGTAATCTTTACTTATTAGTTAACTTTATAATATACTAGACTACGTTATTACCTATAAGCTGCCTTACGCGCGGTCTATAATCTTTTGCTATAAAGTAAGCCCTATAAGGAAAGCTGCCTTAAATAAAGTCCTTAGTGTAATCTAACTACCTATATGTGTAGCAGAATATCCTTTTATAACGCCTTTAAACAAGGTTGCCTCTAGCTAGAGATTACCTAATAGGCTAGCTATAGTTACTTAGGAATTTAACACCTTTTTACGCTTAGTAACGTCTTATAAATTAATTATATAGGGATAAGATAAGGTATAGGGGATTACTATTTTTATTATTTTAAAACTATTAGTTCCTAGTAAGTTACTAGCTTATAGGCTATTAGCTATTAATAACTTATTTAAACTATTATTAGCTCTAATTATAGTTAGTAAGTTACTAGCTTATAGGCTATTAGCTATTAATAAATTAATTAATAGGCTATTAGCTATTAATTTAGGTATTTACTTATTAATTACCTTACTATTAGTAAGTATTTAGCTATTAGCTATTAGATTAATTAATTTAGAACTATTAGTTCCTATTTTACTACCCCCTACGTTAATATCTATAAAGGCTATAAAAAAGGCGCTTAGTGGTAATAGTAGTAAAGTAAGGAGAAGTATAAATTTTGCCTGCTTATATAGATATTCTAGTGTGTTACCTAATTATAGAGCGCCTAGTAGAGTAATATTAGTGTGTTTAATTACTTTATTTATTTCTTTATTAGCTTCTTTATATATTAAGGATTAATTACTAGCTACTATTAGCTTATTAATTTATTATTAAATTACTATAAGATTAGCTTTATAGAGCTTATTAAGTAGTCTGTCTATTAACCTATTAAAGGTTTGTTTTTTATTAAATATTACGTTACGTATAGTAAAGACCTTATTTTACACTAGATACTAGATATAATATAAATTACTAGATATATATCTAATAAGAAATCTAATCTATATATAGGCAGTTAGCTTTTACTAATAATTTTATAATAGTTATATATCTATAGTTAAAGTGTACGCTTAGTAGCTATAGGCTTATAAATATAAAAAATCTAGCTTTACTATTAGTAAAGGCTTAGCGTGCTTATTAAGTATAAAATATAAGTAAAATAATTAATATAGGGATTTCTACCCCTAAGCTACTAATAGTATTTAATTATAAAGGTATATAGCTATAGTTATAGTTTTAGGCTATAGGACTTTAGGTAATTTTATATTAATCTATATATATTACGCCTTAAGTTTAATAATTATAGTAATTTACTTAGCACTACTATTTTAAGCCTAAGTATTTACTACTAACAGCTTAATAAAGATTTTATAAATAAAAAGTATATCTATAAGTTACTTAAGGCGTAGGATTTCTTAGTTAGCCTTAATAACTATTAGCGTAATTAAATATTTAGTTTTTAGTATTATAAGGAAGCCCCTTATTATTAAGTTAATAGTATCTTAGTAGTAGCTATATAAGTAGAAATCCTATATAAGGCCTATTACCTAATCTAAGATTATTATTACTAAGTAGTATCCTATATAGCCTTATTTAAGATTATAAAAGTCTAGCGCTAGGTAATTACCTAGTGCTATATTTATAATAGATTTATAAGGTTAGTAGTAAATCTACTATTTTATTTTACTAAGACTATATAAATTATAGTCTTATATTATTATAGCGTTAACTTAGGTTAGACGTACTTTATATATAGTATTTATAATCCTTTATAAAGCCTTAGCACCTAGGTAGCTAAGACGCTTATACTATATTATTATATTACTATAAAGTAGTTATTACTACGTTAACGTTATATATTTATTTCTTACTTATAGGGTTAGTAGTAAATTATTAGTAAAGTGTATAGTAAAAGCGCTTTTACTCTCTTAGCTATAGCTATATTACTTATAATATTTAAGCAGTTATTAGTTAGCTTATTCCTTAATATAGCCTATAAGGCTATAATTTACACGCCTTAGGTAATTATTACTTAGGCTTATATCCTACTATATACCTTACTAGCGTAGCCTTATAAAGGAAATAAGTAATATAGTAAATATACTATAATATATTACGTTATATATATAGAGCTTTATTAGTAAGCTATTAGCGCCCTTTAAAGTAATCTTTATAGTACTATATCCTTTAATTATAACTTAGGTTATACTAGCCTAGATATAGTTACTAATTAGGGCTACTACTAACGTAATAAACTATAATATATAGTTAAATATATAGTTAGTAGTACCTAAATTAAGTAAGGCTAAATTACCTAGCTTATAGCCTTATAAAGTAGTATAAAAGGCTACTTTTATATAGTATCTACTATATAGTTAATATAACTTAGCCTTAATTTATTACACTTATTTAGTAAGATTAGGATTACTTATAATATACTTATTAATTTATTCCTAATATTACGTATTTACTTACTAATTATTAGGCTTTTATAATTTATTTATAAAGTAATAAAGCTATAATAA